CCTTCTTCCATGGAAGCTGGCCAGGAAAAAAAGTTGGCAGCCCTACTGTACACTTAGAGTAAACCCCTTTCTGTATGAAATGTGAACGTTAAAAGCAAGCAGAGTTTCTGTCCCTTCAAGAACCCTAAAGACCAACAAGATGAAGCAGGGGTCTCTCCAGCTGTCACTGCAGGAGTGGGATGGGAGCCACCAAACCTGACAAATTTCCCTCTTCCTCTCTTAGCTGGGAAAGAACGCTGACTCTTTTATAATATGGTAACTTCCCTACATGGTGTCCAGCCAGCTGCTCTGGGCAGCAGGCCCCATCAACCCTGGGCATTGGTCAAAACTCCCTGGAGGCGTTTGTAGTCCAAAATACCTGCAGGGTGCTACGTTGGCAGGGGACTGCAAGTAGTCCTGAGAGAGACAGGCAGGGTGGCAGTGGTTCGGGCTGTTGTGGTTCATTGCCAGTGGCAGTGAGTAGAAGTAATGCCATCAATCTGCAGCGAAGTGGCCCTTTGAGAGATGCAGAGTTCTTTTGGGGCGCAGAGATGTGTGTGTGGCTTGAAGCATGCCGCTCTTGCAAAGCAATTTGGCTAGCTAACTTGCTAGACAGTTCTGATGAATTGGTGGCAGCGGAGGATTTCTTTCTGACACCATCCCATTTGACTGGGAAGGACTCGCCTTAAAGCGGGGCGGTCCCATCGACGTCAGTGGCTGGCAGTAACGTGCAGAGCCTGGGAGAAGGAATTTTCCTGCACAATCAGGGACCACCTGTTTAGCTCTTTACAGACAGCAGAGAATGAGCATGCCAGCCCCTGCTACCTGGCTGAAGAGGTGGGGCGCGGAATATTCTCCCCAAGGACAAGGTATATCCTCCCTAACCTCCATTGCCATTAGTTTACAGTGGGCAGGATCTGTGCTCTTTGCAACATGAATGGACACATTTGACTGGCACCAAGAGCTACTGGAAAGCACTCCCACAGCCTGGAAAGGTGGAAGGACTGGCCAAATACTGTCACTGAATTAGCCAGAGCTCGCTCTTATGCAACGCCTCCCTGTTAATGTGTCTGACTCTGGTAGCCAGAAGTTGATCAGTGCAGAACTCCTTTGGGAATTAGTGGAGAAAAGTGTATATGCATATTTTGGACTACAAATCCCAGAATCCCTGACCAGGAGCAATGGTCACTGGGGCTGGTAGGAATTGTTGTCCAGAGCATCTGGAGAAAATCTCATTGGGGAAGGTAGGTGTCAGGGGAATGGTAACACAGATTGTAGGACATGGAACAGTGAGCTTAAGCTACAGCAGACCAGGTGCAGGAAGAATTTCCTAGCTGAAAGAGCAATATGATAGTGGAACCAGTTGCCCAGAGAGGTTGTGTGCTCTTCCACACTAGAGGCATTCAAGAAAAAAAGAGTTATCTGAGTGGGATGGTCTCACTGGCATCCTGCACCAGCAGGGGGTTGGACTCGATGGCCTTCTTGGCCCCTTTGGACCTTACTATTCTACGGTCAGTCCTTATCTGGCCCAGTGCTCATGAGGCGGAGCTCTGCCCTCACATTTTCAGGGGCTTTGTGAATGTGGCAGCATGCTAACCAGTCTGCACCCCAAACCTGAGGTTTTTGGCACCAGTTCTCTCCTCCATAGGAGACATTGTAGACTTAGTTATGCTGCAAGAAGCATGCCCATAAGCGTTGAGGGGAGAAGCTGTGGCCATGGAGGCATCTCACTTGAAACAGGTCAGAAGCACCTGCACCAAATCTCCAGCAGGATGCTGCGATTATGACCCGTGCTGCACCTCTCACAGCTTCCAGTTAGCAGGGAAACCCACAGAACTGCTGAGAACCCTTCCTGCTCCTATGCCCTGCCTCGTGTGCTGTTCTCAGTATGGTGTTCATGTGCCATATGGATCTCTAGTGCCAAGCAATGATGAGTTGTTAACAGTAAGTTTGCCTTTGGGTTCTTTTTCCCTTCCCCCCCCCCCCCTCTCGCTCTCTTTCTCCCCTTCTTTATATCTTTGGGGTACAAACTTGTAAACCTGGCTGTTGGATAATAAAATGTTCTCCAAAAAACTTAACCTGCCTAGGAGGAGCTTTCTTTGTGTCTGTTGGGAAGAGAGGGGAGCAGATTTCCCTGACTTGGGCTGGAGGCACCTCACCCTCGGCTCAGGATGTCAGAGCTGCTGTGACACTCATACTGCAAGGCAATGTGGATGGGTGGATGGAGCCCCTGTGGGTTCCAGAAGGGACTGCGCAATGGCTCTGTCTGTGCCCAGGATTGCTTGCTTTTGCATGAGAGAGGGTGCCTTGCATGCCAGTTCAGTGCCATGGAAACTGGACAGAATCAAAGTTCACCAGGATGAAAGCTCTGGTCTTCTCAGACGTTCCAGGTCACTCCAACATTTCTAGTCATTGTATCACAAGCTTCTGCTGTACTCTGAAAATGGAGATGCCAGAACTTCCCTAGACTCACAACTCTCTTGAACCTGCAACTATGCAGCTTTGATCAGCTATTCTCTCAGAGCATCCTTTACTCCTTTCTGGATAATGCCAAAGCTAAATCAGAGCTGTGAGATAATTTGGGCTACAACTCCCATCATCTCCCAACAACTGACCACTCTGACTGACGCTCATGGGAGTTTTATTCTGTCTGCTGGGTGGCACCAGGTTGGCAAGGACTGCTAGAACATTGTTCCTTGGCCTTACTTCAACGGCTAACATACAAAATCTGTAGTTCCTCTTTTTAATGGCAGCCTCTTAGATGCTGAAAAGCTGATCCAGCTGCACCCTGCCATCCTCTCTTTGGTATTTTCATGGATGGCAAGGAGACTTTCTGATACTTTAGGTGCATGCTTAGGAATTTCAAGTGGCTGCAAGGACATTAACTGATGTCTCCCTTTCTAGTTGCTATCCTATTGTACACATATAGCAGTCTTCCCAAATCTGATGCCCTGCACATGTTTTGGGACGTTGACTCCCATGTTTTCAGACATGCCTCACCCAGCATGGCCAAAAGGTCAGGAACGCTGGGAGCAGTAGTCCAAAACACCTGGAGGGCAAAAGGTTGAAGACAGTATATAATACACCCATCAAGATCTGCCCACTTACTCATGGGTAAGTTCCACTAAAATCAGTGGGACTTCTGAGTACACATTATAAGGATTGGGCTTTCAAGCTACTTGAAGTGCTGCCATGTTACAACTTTATTCATCTTAGGCAGAGGCTGAGGATGCATCAGCCATGTGAAATTAAATTGTTAACCCACCCACACATATGCGCACGGAGGTGCCTGGAAGGGAACAAGATACTGCAAAGTGTTTCGAGGCTGTCATGGAATTGATAGTTACTGGGAGTGTTCTAAGCCATGCTAACAGGCAAAACAATCTGAGAAAGGCAAACAAGTCTTTCTTGTGGTAAGTAACTCGAGTCAAAATCCTTTGTGGAATATGGTGGGAATTATTCCGACTCAGTGCTGGAGCTATTAGTGCACCTTGGGATTGTAAAAGGTCGCCCAGTTTCTGGGGCTGAACCGAGATATTTTGCTGCCTAAGGAAGAGTACAAACTGGTGCCGATGTGGACATGAATGCATGTACACACTCAGCACAACTCAAGATGCACAGTACCTGAGGCCTGTCCAGTTATTGGGCACATGGGGCTGAAATTGCCACAAGTCCCTCCCCCCTGCAGTAAAAATATAACACCATATTAACATGCCATGTTCTCATGTTGCCCCACATGGGCTGCTGTGTGGATCCCAGAAATACTGCAGCAGCAAGACGCAATGCAGCAGTCAGCTTAATCTGGCCAAAACTGCTGTGCCATGAAGAAGGTGTGCAAGTCTGTTGGCTCAGCTGAACTATCAGCTCACTTCCAGGCAGTTTAGGTCAGTCTTCCCCAATCTGATGCTGGCTGAGAATGACTGGAGTTGCCCAACACATTGGAGGGGTGGTGGGGGGGGGGGCAAGAGGTTGGAGGAGGTTAATAGAGAAGCATAAAGACCCAGGAATCTCTGTACGCCTAGGTGCTTCTTGGAATCAGCTGCTTCAAACCCCAGGCAGTGGGGAAAACAATATTTCTTATTTACCAGATATTTACTGTGAAGATACACTTTATTACACTACCATGCAAAATGGCATGCTGATTCATATCCGGTATGCATCAAAGGCTTAATGAGGCTGAATGCATCAAAGCCAATGCCCATCAAACAAACAATAACAGATGCCACCAAGTTAGGAACCTCATGCTGTGAGTACAAGGCACGTGCTCCCTGTCCATCGGTGTTGCATGATGTTGGACATAAAGAGGTAGGACACGGCTCCTGCCTTTTTGTGGTATCTTGGTGGGAGGGATGAACAAACCTGTTCATTTCAGTTTCTCTCATTTTTTTCCAACCTTAAATTTAGTTCATTTTAAACTTTGAGGATTTCTTCAGTCCTAAGTTCTGCTTGCCTCAAGCTCATATTTTTAAACCTTGCACAACAATTTATAGAGTTTGTGCACATTTCTCCTAACACATACATTTTGGGTGCATTTTTGATGAAAGTACACATTTCTGAGACGGATTTTTCCTAATATAATGCATTTTAACACAGTTTACTCTGATATATGCATTTTAACAATGTTTGATAGGGGGACTTTATTTAAAAAATTGGAAAAGTGCAAATTTGGAAGAATAGCTGAGCTTCAACTTGCAGAGTGGTATGAATGCGCATAATTAGATAACTTCTCAGTGAAACACAAACTGAACACATTTCTTTCCCATCCCTACTTTGTGGTGGCATGGGATGGGATGGGATGGAATGGGATAGGATGTTCAGTGTGAATGCCAAGTTTAGGCCAGGTTTGCTCCTCTTTAGGATGCAGGCTGGAGTTAATTTAGACAACCACAAGCCTCCGATTGAAAAAGGATTGCCAGTGATTTTATTAAGTATTGCTCTTGTTGAAGCAATGTCTCTAGGCCAAAGTTGCTATACAAGTCCTGCTTGTACACAGTTTCCTCTGGCAGGAGAAAGGGGATGCGTCACACTTCTGTAGTGTTCAGGGAGGTGTTCTTGAGGCAGGAAGTCGTAGTCTTGGGATGTTCCTGCTGCTGCAGCTTGCCTTTCTTGTAGTTTTCCAAGGCAGCTTTCAAGAGTTCCTCCCTGTCATTGTCCTTGTTGTGAGCATTTGTGTTGCCCTGCCAGGCGGGGAGGTGGGAGGGAGGGGGGGAGAGAGAGAGAGAACAGAATGAGTTGGCAACCTGGTTCTCTGCAGATGTTTTGGATTGCAGCTCCCATAAGGCCCAGCCTGCACTGTCAGTTGTAAGGGATTCTGGGAGTTGTAGTCTAAAAAAAAAAACACACACAGGCAGGCCCCACTCAACCCCTTCGGCACACCTGATGGCATGCACAAGACGATCCACTCTTGCTGATCCCTGTAGCGGACTGGAAGGGCCCCGGCGGCCTGGTGCACAGGTGCTGATGGATGGGCGCCTCATGAGAGGAAGGCTCTGCATGACTGTGCTGCCCCACTGCAGCTGGTTTGCCACTGGCTGCCGGACGTGAGTGTGCTTCACGCCCGGAGGCCCTGGGCCACCTGGGCAGCCTGCACAGGGTGCAGCCACGGGGTGCTTGTAAGGCTGTGCAGCCTGGCAGAAGCAGGGCAGTGGCAGGCCAGAGGACCCCCCCAAGAGAAAAAGGGAGACCACCGGTGATAAAGGGGACCTGTTGCTCCATGTGCAACAGCATCCCTCCCCTGCCAACCCCCTCCTTTAAAGAGCTGGGAAAGGTTCTGGCTCAGCCTCTTCCTTGCTGGGCGAGCTTCGACTTGCTGAAAGGCACATTCTACACGGCCCCTTCGACCACCTTCAGACTGTCGCCTAATGTTGCCTTTCTTTCCACTCCAGCTGCAGACCAGCCCGGGGACATTTGGAGACACACAATAGACTTCCAGCCAGTTGCAACTTTGGGGTCAGCCTTCCAGGATTTCACTCATGAAGTGGTACGAATTAAGATCACAGGCTCCCTTCCAGGGAGCCTCCACCTCATCTTCTACATAGGAGTGCTGCCCGGGGCCACTGGCAATTGTGCTCCTCCTCAGTCAAGAGAAAAGCCTGTGCTCTTACTGTCATAACTCACAGAAGGGCACCAAAGGGTCACTCACAAAGACACAAAAGCATTACCCGGAATGCTGCCTTAACCTTTGTGGAGATGCGTGTTTTTGTACATTGCCTAGAAATTTCCTTAATACAAGGGAGTCAAAAATAGTGTTAAACAAATAAAAGTTTGCCATACCAAAATATATCTATGCAATTATCTCTCTCTCTCTCTCTCTCTCTCTCTCTCTCTCTCTCTCTCTCTCTCTCTCTCTCTCTCTCACACACACACACACACACACACACACACACAGAGAGAGAGAGAGACAGAGAGAGAGACAGAGACAGAGACAGAGACAGAGACAGAGACAGAGACAGAGACAGAGAGACACACACACACACACATGGAAGGAGGGAGGGAAAGATAAAACTTAATTATTCTCTTTCATCACATTCCATCCCTTTCCTGATTTCTCCTATGCCACAGCACAGCATGGATCTTGTGGCTTTCCAGTGGTACCCAAATCCCCCACCAGGACCAGCATCGCCCTCATCTCTCAAGCTTCAGGCCTGGAGCGAGGACAGAGCTGCACACAGGTTCCCTTCTCCAAAGGAGGCGGCTGGAATGTGCATCATCCAAGGCATAGAAATGTTCAAACAAACAAATAAATACAAAGTGCAAGGAAGTGACAGGCTTTGGCATAAATAAATAAATACATACAAAGTGCAAGGAAGTGACAGGCTTTGGAATCCTCACCTTTCGTGAAGCAGCAGCTGGACCAATTTCTACGGCATCGACCATGTTCTCATCCAGAGAGTTCAGGCTGTAACAGAGCAAGTAGCACGGCTGGTCTTGGAGCTGCTTGTCATCTGGGGTGCAAGTCTCCAGGCCTCTCTGAGGAGGTGCCAGGAATGTGGAGCAGTTCTGACTAGAGACTTGCAACCTGATGGCACTGCTCAGCACAGTCCACGATTCTAAATAAGCAAGTGAACTTGCCCCCCTCTGTGTATGAAAAAATGGCCTTTGGGAAGTAAATCAGTCATGTGGGCAAATCTATCCCCTAACCCTAACCTGCTTCCACACAGTGTGGGGGAGATAAAAGACGGGATTCATGGCAGTACCTGGCCACTTCATAGTTAGGGCTTTCCTCAAAGTCCATGGTAATTGCGGGGTCCAAGGAGTGACCAAGCACAGGGTTCGCCCTAAAGAAGAAAAGTCCGCTGGTGAGTCTCTTAGTTGCTACAAATTCGATCCATTAAACCAAATCAAACTTCCTCAAACAGGTGCTTTCCAACTGTGTTGCACTACAATTCACATCATCTCCAGCCAGCATGGGACTCACAACCCAACTTTTCTAGAAAGCACCAGGTTAAGGTTGCATACCATACGACCATATAGCTCCAGGCAGAATTCCACAATATACTTCTGTCAACTCAGACACCACAAGCTGATGACAAGAGCAACAGAACCATGTCCAGTCCATTATCAACTGTAACAGCCAAACTAGTGTGCCAAGTACAGCAACACCACAGTGTTGCCTTCAATCAAGATGGCAACCAGATGTATCCCCCTTGATAATGCTATTCTCTTGAAGCTTCACCCAGAGATTCACCCAGAAGTTGCTTTAAAGACTGGAAACTCCTTGGACCTGAGGCCATGTCCTTTAATCTACAGAGCCCTGCTGTTGTCTCCAGGGATTCCAGTCATTTCAACCCCTTTACAGAATCATCTGGCTGCATTCACGCAATACAACAAACAAACCTGCATGGTTACCATGGTACATAGTTTTTTTACCATGATCTGTCTTACAGACAATCAAATGGTTTCTGCTTTATCATGGTTTCCATCCTCCCCATTCAGTCCTCCCACTGTTGGCAAGTATCCCATCAGCCATTGTGACTGAGATCCAATCCCAAGGTGCATTGCTGTTGCCTGCCTCTTCCTCATCAGTCCACACATAGAGGCTGGATGGCCAGAGTGGCTCCTGCAGTTGCTGTTCTTTCCAGAGGACTCTGTGGTAGCTGCACACTGTCATGAACTAGTTCTTTCCCTCAGTTTCAGAACTCAACACAAATCTTTGAAATGCAGTCCTACCAAAACTCCACAGTTAGCAGAATAGTTTAAATTGCCTTTTATCGAAGCTGGAAGGAGAACCCTCTGCTCATGCAGAAAGTTGACTGCAAAGTGGAAACTTCTCATTGGATCCTCCCTTTCAGAAAGGCTGCTGGCTACACCCACAGGGGGGCTCTTGACGTTGGATATCAGCATGGTGAGAAAGACAGAGCCCCTCCAGCTGAGGAGCTCGTCTCTCCCGATGCCTCCTTACCAAGTCAAGGACTGGGGACCTGCATCCCCATTCCCTTCCCTCCTGAAAACTCTTCCATCGCTTCCAAAGCAGATTGACTCTCATGCTCTGTGAGAAACTTCAGTAAGCAACTTTGATGGAGCTCCAAAGCATTCAGCCCCCCTCCCCCCTCCTTTTCAGAATATGATGGTGACACCACTGCACAACCTACAGTGAGTGAAGGACCGACTCACTTCACACATACTAGGGCTGTGGAAATCATGATCCTGGTTTCAGACAACACATCAAGCCATGGTGGTCCAGAGAAACCATGGAAAAAATCATGGCTCCTGATGATGGTTTCTAAAGACCAAACTTAACATGGTGAAATACAGCAACTGGATTCAGACAACACAATAGATCAGCAAGGATCAACAACTACAGCAGCGTGTTGGGTTGCCTGATCCCAGCCACTGTGAGTGTTGCTGCCATCACACTGCACGTTCAGCACAGAAGATGGAGTTTCATAAGAAGGTCAGGAAGAGGAGGCAGGCAGGAGCTCACACTTCTTCTTAATTTTGCTCCTCCGCACGTCAATGCAAGTGCCATTCCTCTTTTTGTAGCAGAGCAAACCTCTCCTTTCTCCTTTGCAACCCCAAAGCATACCCTTCTGTGTTGTATATGTTGGTCCCAGGAATAGCTGGTCCCTGTGGCACACCGCATGCGGAGACCTCTGAAGCCTTCTTCAGGGCTTTGAGGGCATTCAGCTTCCTCACATGGCTGGAAAAACAAAAGAAGGGCTTGGGAAGGGGGAGAATGGCAGAGCGCTGTCTGGGGAGAGTGCCTGCCCTGCCATGAGCGTTCCTGCAGGTCCTCAGGGCAGAAAGGTGTTTCCACATGGGGAACACGGGCCGTGCAATGCAGTACCAAGACAGTGGTGCATGCCAGGATGGGCAGAAGCAGCACCGGGCAAAGCACAATGGGATCACTCAGGGATGGGGGCCACAGGAACTCTGAGACTACTGATTTTGGAAGGGGGAGCCTTCATACCTTCGCCTCATGCCGATGATGGTCAGGATCAGGATGACAATGACAAGAAGCACGGCCACAGCCAGCCCTGCAATGATGCCAAACAGCTCCTTCTCCGTGTTGGGCTGGCTCACGTCCACGGGGCCCTGGGAGGCACAGAGGTGTCACTCCACTGCCTCAGAAGTGCCTGTGTCTGCATGGTCCTTGAGGACATGGAGGCGGCCTGAGGCCACCTACGCCTTTGCCCTGTGGGTCACAGCAGCAGCACAAGCCTATTTTCCACAGAAGCCCGTTCCCTGACAAGCACTGGCTACAGCCCTGTGGCCTCTCCATGGGCCATGTCTCTTGGCCCTGGAGCAGGGTTCTTTGCGGAGGCGTTCCCCTTGCCTCGGAGGCAGCCATGCTAACCAGTCTCCCCCGGGGGAGCTTTGGACTACTCACCCACCCTGCCACACACACATCCCTTCAAGTGGGCCCCAGAACTGCTGCTCCGAATTTGTGAGAATTAGCAGGAAATTAGTACTCACAACAATAGACAGGCCAAAGTTAAGCAACCGTAGCAGCTGCTCAGGGTTTTCCTGGATGAGCCTAGAGAAAAGGCAGTTTGGAGCCTATTAGGACATGCCCTCCACTGTGTCCTTGTGGTTGGAAGAAAGTGAGTTTAAACCATCACGTTTCAAACAACTTGGGATGTTTCCTTGGGTTCAAATTGCAGACTGGGGGAAGTAGAGAGATCTTAGCCACCTGATGTTTTGTAATGGCCCATTCAGATACTGTTTTAAGAAGTGTCAAGAGAGATGATCTGTTGGAAATGGGCAGGGGAAGAGATGAGGTCTGAGGGCATCATATTTTTCACCTCTTAAGTCAAGCACTTTTCCCTCTGACTTTCCAAACAAGCCCCTGTAGGAGCCACCTGCCCTTTCAGTATCTGCTCTGCTCTGTTCTCTTCCCCATCTGCTGCACCCTGTTTCCTTCCTCTGCTCAGCAGTTCCAGAGCAATCAGCCACTTACGTGCGTACAAATTTGTCACTTAGAGCCGTGCCGTTGCTGTAGACAAAATAGGCCTCCATCACTGTCAATATCTTTGCAGAAGCCCTACAACATAGGAGATAATGATGTGTGAAAGGGACAGGCTGCGGGGTGGCATCTTCCTAGAACTTTGGCTGATCAAAGACCCAACCCTCGGGAAATGTTTTGGCAAGCCAACTGGCTGCCTTCCTCTGCAAACACAGCCAAATCCTGATAAATCAGCAATGCGGAGCCAGCGGCAACATCTGCCACACTGTGGCTTGCTCCAAGCAGCACCCGGATGCCAACGGAGTGCTTGGATCCCGAAAAAGCATGTGTCTCCTCAAAAGCATTGGCACAATTGCTTTCCAGGACATGCTCTGTCAGCCACGTTGCACCAGTCTTGTATCAACCACCCCAGATGCAGATCTGTTTCCAGGCACTATTCAATGGGCTGGTGCTTACCTGTGAAACCCTAAGTGGCCAGGGGCCAGGATATCAAAAGACCACCTCCTCCCACTTGAGCCTGCTCATTGTTTAAGATCCTCTTCATATATTCCTCTGCATGTCCCACCATCCAGAGAGGGGTTCCCCCCTCCATTTCTAATTGTCAATGCAGAAACGCCTGCCGTGGCATCCCTTCTGTGGAACCCTCCCAAAGGGAGTTAATGCTAGACCTTGCTTTAGTTTTGGGTGGTCTGCTGAAGCCTTTTGCTCCTTCATACTGCTCTTTAGTATTTTACAGGCACAGTTCTATCTGTGTTTAACCTGAAAAAAAGTCTCAGCATTGCCCAGCCAGAGTCCTTATTCTTCTATCTAAACAAGAATAGGATTGCACCTGGAATATAAACCACATACTGCTTTTAAGATCCCCCCCACCCGTTCTCCTGGGGGTGATGTTGAAAGTTTTAAATTAGATTTAAAGTTTCCAAATTGATTTTTTAAAGTTTTCCAATTGTTTTATGTTCTAATGGTACGACACCTCAGGGGCTGAAACACAATGCATAATCCTGATAAGAAAACAGAATGTTCTTTGCCTCCATTCCTTCCACAAGCCTTTAAACATGCTGCCTCTTGGGCAGTTATACCAGCTGCAGCTGCAACAGGTGCCGGGTCATTTTCCTCCCTCTGCACGCCTCCCCTGCAAGCAGGTCTCCCCCCAGTTCTCGTTTTCGGTCACCTCCCCTATCCCAGTCACCTGGCAGATCTGGAGGGAGATTCCTCAGATTTGATTGTTGCTATGTAGACTGTAGTCTTGGTTGCTGCACTGAGAGCCCTGGAAGCAAGAGAAAGAAGAGAGAAATGAGCACCAGCCTGTAGGCTGAGTAACAAACAAGGCACTGGCAATTCTGTTTTCCTCTCACTGGAAGTTACCACTGTAATGCTGAGAGCATGACAACGCAGCACCGTCTAGCACTTCATTACATGTGGCTTCCCCCAGCACAAGGGATGCTTTTCATCCTCAGACATGAGGAACAAATGTCACAGGTGAATCAGCATTCAGAATAAGAGCTCAGAGCTGGAGGCACGGGTGGTGTTGGGGCCAGAAGAACAGCGTGCACAGAACTATTCATCACAGGAGCAGTGATCTTTATCATCTAACAGTAAGAAACTGAAATCCACATTGCAGGGGAATGGTAGGAAAACAGAGGTTTGTTCTGAATAATGACCCTCTAGGAGACAGAATGTATAAAATGCCCATGGTGATAATCCAGTCAAATACTTTAATGCTTCAATTACCTGTAACTAATATGGCTGCAGCAAAGGAATATATGCCCCATATACTCAGCTGGTGCTGAGATTCGTTTTAAGGACGATTTCCTCAAGGCCAAATGGCAGCTCCCTGGCTGACTGAAGGTTCCTGAGAACCTGTGCGCATTCCCTCTCCCCTACATGCACTTTATGTTCACTTTTATGTGGAAATCGATGCATTTTGCACTGATTTGCAGCGTAAGTTGTCCGAAGAGTCACATTGTGTGGAGGGAAAAGGCACAGAACAATATCCGTGAAGCAGGCTCATTTTTATGTGTAAGGCTTCACCTCCAGTTTCATGCGCAATGGATTTCTTTCATGAAAATATGAATCCAGAGTATAAGAGCAGCTTTTCAATTTAGACTTTTTACATTTGTATTTTTTTTGAAGCTGTGGCAATCTGGGCACAGAATGAGAAGACTAGACTCATGGGAGAAGACTAGCAATAGTGCTAGGGGAAGTCAAAAGCAGCAGCAGAAGGGCAGGACCAACCATGGGATGGCTCAGTTCCATAAAGGAAGCCACAGCCTTGAATTTATGAGGGCTGTCAATGTTGGGGGCTTTTGGAGGCCACGCATTCATCGGGTTGCCATAAGTTGGAGAAAACTTATGGCACATAACAAAGTTTGCTTATGTTACCATTTGTAATGGTCATGCTTTTTATTGCTGCAAAGCTTTATTGTTTCAAATTGTTATACACCACCTTGAAGTGTTTAGGGTTTTTAGCAGATAAGATTATTTATAAATGTTAATAAGAAATAAGTAATAAATAAGATTGAACCGACATTATGTCATCATTAGGAAGACCGATAGAAAGGCAAAAAATTTACTTGCAAGTACAACGGATTGGATCCAGCCATAATCGTATCTAGAGTCAGTCAGGAAGGCTAACTAGGAAGGCTAATAGCGTACTTGGGGTGCACTAATGAAGGCCAGTGTGGTGTAGTGCTCAGGGTGCTGAACGGAGACCTGAGAGATTCAGGTTCTAGTTCCCACTTGGCCATGAATGTCACTGAGTGACTTTGGGCCAGTCACTGACTCTCAGCCTAACCTACCTAAATTACAGGATTGTTGTAAGGATAAAATGGAAAGGAGGAAGAGGAAAAAAAGGAAGAATGGAAATATAATAATTTCAAAAGCTATAAATCCCATTGACTTCAATGAGTCTACTCCAAGGATGAACTTGTGTTTTGTTTCATTTTTTAACCAAAGAAAGGAAGGAAGGAAGGGAGGGAGGGAGGGAGGGAGGGAGGGAGGGAGAGGTAGGAAAGCCAGCCAGCCAGCCATTTTTTAAGATGTCGATACCTGGATCAGTTTCCATATTCTAGACATAAGACTACACCCCTCCCCCCAAAAAAAATCCACCACTGCACTGCCTCAGTCAAGTCTGCCTGCAATCTGAGCTCTCCATAGACTTTGCAGCTTGCCCCGTATCCATGTCTTTTTTCCCTGGCCCCAGACAACCCCCTGAACGAGAGGGAAACTATGCCGTACACTTTGATTTCATCTGCATTGGACTGCACATCATTCAATTGCTTGGTAAAAGACAGCTTGACTCGGTAGCTCTGGTCCACAGTAAAGAGCTGGAAAAAGAGAGAGATGATTGCTCTCAGATGCTGGATGTCTGCACTCCGGGAGGAAACTGGTGAGACAGAAAGCAATCTTACATCCAGTGATTGCAGAGAACTGAGCTGCGGCGTCCCCTGGTCTCTGGCTTCCACGGTGATATTGTATCGACCCTTCAGTAAGCTGTTGAGGTTGCTGGCCACTCTGAGGGAACACAGGCGTCGGCATCAGGCACTGGGGCGGCAGGCCAGCTCCTGATCCCGGACTCCTCACCAACACAGCCACAGAGCCGCCCCCACCCCCCACCCCCCTGCAGTACCCTTGCACAAATGCCTTACTCTCTTGCTGCAAGCACGGAGGCGGCTTCCAGGAAGACAAGATGAAACGCTGTATTGCAATACCACACCGCATAGGAGAGCAAGTGAGTGAGAGCCTTGCCCGGTCTCTATAATCTTAACATTTCAGCTGCATGAGCAGCCTCTGTGAGACTGAAAACGCGAAGCCCCCATCAAGTCAGTTGCCCTTCGCAGGAGCTAGCCTGGGAGGTCCTGAGCCAGATGCCTGGCACCCAAATTTAGCCCTCCTGGGGCCCCAGTCTTGCCCTGTGGGGTTCCTCGGATGCCGAGACCCCTTCCCTGGCCCCACCCCTCTCCTCCCAGCCACTGATCACTCAGGAGTTCCCCAGCTTTTGCTCGCTTGTTTCCCCCTTTTCTAAAAGGCTGAACTGCCGCTCTTAAGCCTTAGTTACTGGCACAAAGGGTGTCAAGATAAAATGTGCCCTGCCCCTTTGGCTTTCGGTCCTTCCCACCACTGGGATGCAGCCCGCAACAGCTTCTCTGAAAGAGCTTCGACCCCTCGCCCTCTCTGATTTTGCTGCTTTTGTCTTGACTGGGAACTGATGTCCTCTGTCTTCCTATCCAGTGGATGATCCCCCCAGAGCCGTATGCGGACAGCCATGAAACACAGGGAGGCACGTGTGCCAGCCATGCCTCCACCATCCCACCCTGGCCTTCCTGAGCAGAGCTGGAAACTTTAGATCCTGCACAGAAATCTTCCCGAATAGGATCGAGAAAAGCCACGCTGGACCAGGCCAGAGGTCCATCCAGTCCAGCACAGCGCTCACATGGTGGCAAACCAGCCAGCCACAGGATCCCTCAAGCGGGACGGCTGCCAGAATTCTGCCCAGCCATGTTCCTCCGCAATGGGCATGTGCAGGCAAGTCACCTCTGATCATGGAGGCAGCACACAGCCAAGAAGGCTACTAGGGACCACGGGCATCCTTCTGCTTCGGATAAGGTGATCAGCGTGGACAGGTTGCCCCATGCATCCCCCCCCCCTTCTCCATGCCTGATTCCCCACATTCTCTTTAAATAGTGGCCTCTTCCAAATGATAAAACCCCATCAATTACTGGATGCTTCCCAAGTAGAGGTCCTTTTCTACCGTTGTCACCACTTTGAAAAGGCTGTCAAAGCTCTGCTCTCCTCCGTCGTCCTTGATAAAAACTACCTGCGAGATGGCAAATGTGATCACACTGTTCACACCTGAATCAGCATCCGTAGCCTGGAAGAAGAAGGAGAGCAGTAACATTGGTGCTTTTTTTGGAAAGACTGTTTCGGCCTGTCCTAAGGCCAGTTTCCAACACAGGCAGGAGCGGTGTGCCCACATTTATATACACACAAAGAGCACGTCTTACCCTGACCACAGCCACCTGCAGGTCTATTGGAGAGACTTCTGGGATTATCACTGAAAAAAAGCCCAGAGCAAAACAAGATACTAGTCACAGATCAGAAAACACACACCAAACAGCAGGACATGATACGAACTGTTCCCTCCAGGGCTCATTTAAAACTTGCAACTTGTATGGGGGCAGTTGCCCTCTGCTCCCAGGCCCCACAGAGAGCCAGTGATTGGCTCCCAAGTTGGGCATTTATTTGCCCTGGATAAAGAGTGCAGGAGAGAACCCTGACCTCCCCTCCTGAGATCTTGGCTATGGAAAAGCGGAAGATCTGATCCTGATGAAGTTGCTTCCTCAGAACTGCCAGGATTCCCGTAAGATGCCCTGCAAAGACACCTGACGGTCTCCTCCCCAAGGGCTGGAGCCTGGCACCGAGCCAAAGGAAGCTCTCTTTCGGGACGGTACAGCTAGAGCAGGGCCTCTGCAGCCGTCTCACCACCACGGCCACCACCATCTATCCATGAGAGGGCACCGACGGCATGTCGCGGTGACAGCAGGTTTCCTGTGCACTTGGCTCTCACCAAAGGTGTCGGTGATCGGGAGGAACATGGGCGCATTGTCATTGACATCAGCAATGATGATTCGCAGGGTTTCTGCAAACAGAGACAAAACAGGGGGCGCCCGTCAATGGCTTAGGCAGCTGTGCTGTGCCCCACAAGGAGAAGGCAGCGAGAGCCCCACTCCAAGTAAGGAGGGCAAGAGAGGCTACCTACTCAGGGTTGCCTCCTGCTTTTCAGTCTAAACTATCTAAAGTGGGGAGGCAGAATGCAGTCCTGAGGGCCAAGTCTCAGGAGTGCCCCAAAGGGCCACGTCCTTCCCCGACCCCATCTGCTTTTCCCAGCCCCCAAACATTTGGGAGTTTCTTGGCTTTTGTAGGATGCCCACTCATTCTGGAAGGCTGAAATGCAACTCCTAAGAATTAGTTACTGGCGTGAACAGCTTTCGGCTGAAATGTGCTGGTGATTCGGCGTTGCTCCTCTGCCTTTGGCCTCGCCCACCCCAAGATGTGCCCTTGGGGGCTGCTTTGACACAGAAACCAGCCTCATGGCTGGAAGAGGCTCTTCCCCAAGCACTAAACCAGGCACCCTCCTGTTGCTGTTGCATTGCTTGTGGTGCTGGTACTTCCATGCCAGCGGAATAAGGGAGCATCAGCTGTGAAGATGAGGGACCCAGTGTAGCAATGGCGGCATTTGTCCCACAGCCAGCACTGCAAGAGCCCAACTAATTCAATATCATTCAGACCATAATGAAGGTAAGTTAATGGCATTTAGGTCAAGGTCATGATACCACCAAATTCATATTAAGCAGGGGGGTTAGGGAAGAAAATATTTTAAAAGACAGCTCAGCTGAGCAGCAAGAGCAATCTGAACACTTTCTTCACCCATCGTGTCTTTCCTAAACCCCCCTTTCTGCCACCATGTTTGTTCTAGTTGGGCTCCATAACTGGAAGAAACTTCTTCAGGAAGAAAAATGTTTGCAGCAGGTAAGTAAACTTTCCCCTTCTTGCTGCTCTTCAGATCTCTCTGGCCCAGCCTGTACTTTCCAGGTAATCAGTGCAACATGGTTTGGACTTTGCTACCATTACACCTGTTGGCAACTGTTTTTGATCACCTGTGCCCACTAGAGGATGAAACTGCAGAAAACTCTTCCAGAAAACTCTGGCAACAGCTTCTGTTCCTGCGACTGATTCCCCTCACCCATCCTCCCACACAATATGCACCATACATGCAATACACAAAAAGAAACTTGGAGGAGGTGTGGAGCCAAGCGCTCCTTCAAAGGCCTTACCGTTGTTACTGTAGGGCTCTCCCACTTCGGTGAGCTCATCCTGGGCACGCAGCGTGAGCTCCACTAGGTCACAGGCCTCGTAGTCTATCTCTGAACTATTCACAATGATGGAACCATTGGGCTCCAGGGAGAACCAGTGCTGGCATACGTTGCCTGCACTGGCCGAGTCCTTGAGGCACGCGACGGCCAACTGCTGGAATATCAGGGAGTGCCTGGTGTCCATGTCGGTGGCAGTCAGTGTGGCGACTGACTCGTGCAGAGTGGCGTTCTCCAAGACGACAACATCACGTGGGGGAGAAGGCACGATGGCTGGGGGCTCATCGTTCACATCCTCCACATTCACTTTCACTGTGGCGTTGTCAGCATCAACATGCCCCCCAAAGTCTGAATTTTCAGCCTGCACAGTCAGACTGAAGAACTTCTGCTCCATCCGGTCGTAGTCAAGAGCAATATCTGGGTCTAAAGATAATGTCCCCTGGTACCAGCCAAGGTTTAGGTAACTGGAACGTATCAAAAAGTTGCTTGAACCCATGCTGTTTGTAATGTAGAAGGAGATGCGGTTGTTAATCTCCGTCTGATCGGCATCTGTGGCCTCCACATCTCCGACAAGGACTCCTGAGAATGGAAGTTTAGTTAGAATGGCTATACCAACCTTCCTCAACCTCATCCCTGCAGCTGCGTCAGACTACAGCTCTGAGGATGCTGGGAGCTGTGGTCCAAAACAGCCACGGGGCAAGAGGAGGCGGGGCTGCATGAGCCATCTTATTGCCCCGCACACCTTAACATTCCATGCAATCCCATCCCACTGTTACCTGTGCAAGGCAGTGCCCCCAGCTGGGAGCTGCACCCCCTTGCCTCCTGCACTGCCACCCCTTCCAGGTCCCGTGGCCAGTCAGCCACATGCTTGAAGTCACGCCCTGTTTCAGCCATGTCAGTTACTTGGTGCTTCTGGCATTAAACCAAGGTGTGGGCAGCAATCTTAGCAACCTTAACGGCCTCAGCCAAACACATAAGAAGGAGTGCATCTCCTTAGCTTACTCATCCTGTCCCTTAAGATCTGATGAGAAGGTCTTTTCTGAGTGCCACATATCAGAACATCAGGTAGCAAATTATGAAGCAAAGCCTTTATGGAAACAGCCTTTTTATTCTGGAACTCCCTCTTTGAGAAGCCTTCCCCGAGCAGCCCTGTAGATCATTGGGGGTTTTGCCCAGAAGCCTTTCTATCAAACTATCGTGATTAACAATTGTTACTTTTAGCTAATACATAATTATTCAGTTCTGCTGGTTGGGTTTTTTTTCTTTTAAGAGCAAAACAGCCATGACTTTGCTGCACGCTGCCCTCCCAGGTGTATCTTAATTTCCTTCGCAACACATATTTAGGACACTGTACCTGGCAAGCCCTCTTTGACAGAGAACTCATAGAAGGGCTGGCTGAATCTGGGTGCGTTGTCATTTCTGTCCTAAAGGGAAAAGAAAGGATGGCAATGGGACAATTCTCCATCTGACTGTACCATGGGGGAATTCATGGAGGCAACAAGGGCATAGGAAATATGGTAAATTTGTTCTGTCTTGTAGACAGGTAAGGATAGCGTGGCTCTGAGACCCCAGAACTGCAGCTACCCATTTGTTGCCACAAGAGAGTGAGTTTCCATCTTGGGCTGTGATGCATGATCCCATCTCCACCATACAGGAAAAAGCAACTTGCCCCGCCTGGTATCCCTCAATTATGAGAGATGCCACTCTCGTAATTCCCAGACAACAAGCCTGGCCACGCCGGGAGTTTGTAGTCTAACAAAGACGCCAGGTTGGAGGAGGCTGCTCTAGAACCTGGATCACGTACGGAGCAGTCTTTGGGTGCTAGGCCCAGCCCCCCCCCCCCCAAGCACCCCTTGCCACCCTCACGGCAAGAAGCACGGCTACCTCCACAGTGATGGTGACGTTGACAGTGGTGCTCAACTGAGGGACACCCAAGTCATGCACAAGTACGGTCACCACTATTCTGCCCTCGTACGCCGGAGGGATGGCCTCTCGGTCCAGAGGTCCTCTGCTGCTCAGCACTCCTGTGTCTGGGGTGATGGTGAAGTTGTTGCTGAATTCGCCAGGCACGATCTCATACTGCAAGCGACTGTTATTCGTCCCCGGCTCATCTTGGTCAGTGGCCTGGGAAGAAAACGTAGGGAGTTGTTGGCAAATAACAGGAAGGGGTTCTTGCTTGGGTGGAGGCTATTAGGCGGCAGAGGGGAGGGTTGAGAGCAGCAGCGACTATGCTACGCTGCCCCGTGTGATGGTCTCTTTTCTCCCTCTGCAGGGGACCAGCAAAGGCTGGACCACAAGGATGAATCCCATCATGTCCTAGGTGACCACCCCAAGGCTGGCAGGTGGCAAGTGCTTCAGAGGCAAGCTCCCTTTTATTCCTTTAGTTGCAGTGGTGCTATGATTTAAGATGTTAATGGATTTAAAATGGAAAACTGTGCTTGCTTGGAAGGTGTCTTATAATCAGGTTGGCAAACGGTGCTGTTTTTGTTATTGGTTTAATACATGAAGAACATGGATATGGTTGTAAACCTTAGAGTGCTGTAAGAAAGAGAAAAGTTAGCCACATGCTTTGCCACTGAAATAATGCACATGCCTGCCTAAAGTGGGGAGAGGCCAGGCATGAGGCCAGGGTGCGCAGGCTCTGAAAGCACCCAGCTGCACTGCTGCTCCTCTGTCAGGTCTGGCTAGCCTGTTTTTGACTTTGGGAGCTGTGACTTCTCTGACAACATTCACACCCAAGATGCATGTGCTTTCACCCTCTCGCTCACACATATGGCCAGATGCACAGAGACTCAGAGTTGCAGACAAAATTATCTCCCCTTTCCATAGACACCCCCCCGCCAATCCCCAGCAAATGCATTCCCTCCCAGGCCCACCCCATCCACTCACTCTAACATCCACGTCTGCATTCTCTTTCAATTTGAAAATAATCTTTTAAAGCAACAGAAAGAGGTTCCTCCTTTCTTCCTCCCCTTGATTCAGTAACAGCAGTTTCCTCCTTGAAATACTTTAAGGATACCAAATGGGAATGGGAATTTCTGAAGCGCAGGTGCTCATGACAACAGTCCCTCTGGCCACACCCCGAGCAGATCCCAGACACGCAGGCAACTGGGTGCTCCACGCCCCTGCCTCTGCCTGCTTATTATGCGCATGTGAGCGGCAGTGCAGAACGCATTAGGATCAGCTGATGCCCACAGAATCGTCAGCTGCAAAGGGCAGGCGGTTCTCTCTCTTTGCATGCTAAGGGCATTTTCAAGCTTTATTCCACAGCAGGAAAGTTTGGAAACATGTTTCATTTAAAAACCACCCCCACCACCAAGAGATATGAAAGCTCAGCTTCTCAACGGATCAGAACCTGCCTAGGAGATATGGTTCTGACCAAGGCATCATCTTCTGCCTTTTGCACAGCACATCCCAAAATGTGCAGAAATTGCACAAACGTATAATGAATCCTTATGGCGCACGGCATCAACTTCAGAAGCAGGATGCCCCCCACCACCCCAATCCAAAGATGGAGATGACTCCAGATTTGTGAGGCTTATTGGAGAAACAAGAGGCACAGCACTGGGCGGGAGGGGACACCCGGCACTCCAAGGATAAGCTTTTCAGGTACATGTGCTATTAGTAGTAGATAGCCCATCCTAGGAGTGAATTACTCCATGGCTACTTCTTGAAAATGCACACACACACATCCATGCCCCAGAAAATGAAGGTGGTGTTCAGGCCTTACCTGGATCTGGACGGATACATTGCCTTGGCCCTCAGTGACAAAAATATTATAGGAGCCAGTCACAACTGGAGGCTTGTTGTTGATGTCAAGCACAGAAATCTCCAGCTGCGTGGAGCCAGACAGGCCACCCCCGTCCATGGCCTGCAGGGTAGCATAATAGAAGGGTCGGACGCCCCAGTCCAGCTGACTGTCAGGGGCCACTAGCACTGTGCCATTTCTTGGAATCACCGTAAAAGTGGAGTGGCTGCAGAAGAGAGAGACAGATGCATCCTTAGGCTGGATATGTGGCAGCTCCCGCCCAAGGAATGATGGCCTGGGCCACAATCCACACCCTGCTCCTCCGTGCTTCCACGGTAGTCACACTGACATACATGCTCTCCGGCAGCAGCTGGTAGGTGATCTCTCCAAACGTCCCACTGTCTGGATCGGTGGCCTGCAAGGAAGCAAAAGGAACCAGCTCGTTCTCATTCATTGTTCATTTGCAGGGTTGACCCCTGGAAGGAGAGCTGGCTTTTGGGCTGATGGTGTGGAGAAAGTCTTCTATTGTACATTTTTTGTATTTGTTACATTTCTATCACCCAATAGCTGAGTTTGGTTCATGAACAGCAAACCCATAAAACACAGCATGAGAAAGTCTGGAAGTTTTAAACTACATTATAAAACTAAGGTAAAAACCAGCAGCAGAGTAAAGAGCGGGGAAATCTAATAAGAGATTTTAAAACAACATCAATGGAAGGGGCAGGAAACCTGGGAGAATAAGACGGTTTTCACTTGGTGCTGAAAAGACCACAGCACGGGCACCAGATGACCCCTTTTGGGGAGGTCCTTCCAGAGCTGGGGTGCCCTGAAACATGTGCTGCCTGTTCCTCGAAGTAGCTACAGAGCCCTCTGGTCCCTCAAAGCCCAGTAAGCTCCACCTGAGAAGTTTCTCCCCATCCCCTCCCAGACCCAAGATTGCACAGGAGCTGCCTTACTGTGATGTTGGAAGCAACAACAGTACCCGGGGGACTCTCCTCCAGCACGTAGAGTTTGTAGCTGCTCTGCTGGAACTCGGGCCGGTGGTCGTTGATGTCGAGGAGTTGGATGGAGACGGTGGCAATGGAGCAGCAGTCAGTCCCCCTTCCAGTGTCATTTGCTACTATCTGCCGGGATGAGGAGCAGCTGAAGTCATGAAGCCTCACCCCGGCATCTTGCGATCATCACAGCGGACTGCTTGCAGGAGGGCTCTTACCAGCTTCATGCAGCCAGGAGGAGAACATGGCAGCTCTGGCCAGCCAGCCATATGCTTGTTTTTGGGTCACACATATTACCCTTCCAGTTGTCAGTGGAAGTTGTGAGACCAGTTCCTTGGCAGCTGCCAGAAGATACTGCTCTGGTCTCGTAACAGATTGATTTAACAGTGCTAATTGGCCAGTTCCCACACAAACCGACAGCTTCACAGGCTAACAGGAGAATCAAGTGTCCCTAAGGATGGATGCTGGTGAGCCTGATCATGTTTCCCACTCAGGGGAAGGATCCAGCGGCGTCTGTATGTTAGTGCTGTTGACATTGCGCAAGCATAAACCAACGCATGCACAACACCAATCACACTTGCTGGCACAGTGGCTTTCCTGGGAAACTTATCACATTAGAAGAGCTTCTGTTATTGCACAAATATTGGCTTATGCTCAGGCAATGTCAGTTTGCCAACACAGAGATGCTGCTGGATCTTCCCTGAGTCCTCCTAGAAGGAGGTTATCCAAATGGAGATTTCAGCAGATTTGCTGCTGTGGGTGTGGTTGTTAAACTGCTGAGCCCAGGCCCCAGTTCTTGGCAAGGCAACAAAGCAGGCCTACCCTGCTCCTTCTCTCACCTCCACAGTCATGACAGGAGACTTTTCATAATCCACAAGGGCGGAATTGCGCACGAGCACCTGCACAGCGTTTTCATTCACGATCTGCTGCGGTGACACAGAGAACGCAGCTGCATCTGGACCCTGCAGGGATAGCTGGAAGGTACCGTTGGAGCCCTGCTCGGGAAAGAAGATGAGGAGCTCAGGAATGAGATGCTTTCAAGCACAGTTCCTGGGAGTAGGGAAGTGGTTGCTTCCACCCAGGAGACCAGGCCAGCCCGAGACATTTTGCTGCCTGAGGTGAACCACCAAAGGACATGCCTTCTCTGACAGGTACAAGCACTGGTGGAGCCGGCAGCTGAACCTTTCTTCAGCACTGATCCTCCTCCACCATGCCTGAAGGCAGCATGGTGGTTTAGGGGATACAGGACAGGCTGCTCAGCCAAAAGCCTGCCTGGTGGTGGGCCCAGCGTGAGGAAGACAAAGACTGGCAACGCCTTCTGACAGCTTTGGATCTCCAGAGCAGAAAAGCAGGTAGCAGCCATGCACACCTATTCACCTTCTCAGTGTTAGTGCTGCATTCTTGACCACAGACTTGCAGTGGAGAAAAGGGTAGACCTGTTCTCCCCTGCAGAGGAGGGCAGGATGCTCTCCAATGCAGCAAGGTTCAATTTGGATGCCAGGAAGTACTTCCTGACAGTTAGGACCCCGAGGGTGTGGAATGGGCTTCCACGAGAGGTGGTTGAGGCCCCATCGGTGAGGGTGTTCAAGGGTAGTCTGGACATGCACATGGTGGGCATGTCATGAGTGGGGCCAGCTGGAGCTGGGGGTCAGATTAGATGGCCCAGGAAGCCCCTTCTGACTCGCTGTTTCTATGAATTTGCCAATAGCCAGAATTCATCAGCTGTGACATGGGCTCTCTATATCAATTTACTCTCAGAGAAAATCTTAGTGGAGTCATATTGCCTCCAGCGCATTACTTAATATAGACATGAATTAAGAAAAGTGTATTGACTTGGGATATTTGGATTAACTTTTGGTTTATGTTTAAGTATGCAAACTAGCATTCAGAAAATACATTTAAGATATGGTAAAATACAGAAGTTGCCAATGGCAAATCAGTGAACATAGTGGAATGCCAGTTGATATATTAGGAAAATGAAGTGCTCAAATATCCTAGCATTTAATTTGAATGCCCTAACTTAACCAATTATTTGTAATAGATATATAAACTCTCTATGTCACATTTAAATGATTACAGCTACTGGCAAGTTCAAGGGTATGGTTGATAATGTGGTGCTAAAATGTGGTGGTGTTAAAAAGAGAAGGCAAGAGAAAATCAACTGTTTTCCATCTGCGGGGATTCAGAGCTTGCCAAGAATCCTAAAGAGCATCTCTTCCCACTGGTGCTGGTCCCAAAAGACCAACCTCTTCCCACTGGTCAGGTCCCAACAGGCAAAATCTGAGCTCTGTTGATGGATGAAAAAGGGGGTGGAAACAGTGCCTGAACTGAACTGCAACACCAACCCTAATTCCAAACTTAGTTTCTCCTACTATTCCAGCTTTGTATTCCACCCAAAAAAGTACTTCAGTCTCTCCTCCCATGCTCACCTTGTCAGGATCATAGGCCACAATGGTAAGGTTGGCCACAGGTGTCCTGGCAGAAGCATGTTCTTCAATCTGGCCAGAAAAGAAGCTTTGTGTAGGGCCTGAAAAGTTGCAGGCAGGATAGGTGCACTGATAGAACTGAGGCGTGTTGTCGTTGATATCCGTGACCTGGATGGACACGGTGGTGCTCACTTGTGCCACCTGCTGGTAAATGTCTGGGGTTTCTTCCTGAGCCTGGGTATTGAAGGAAGAGAGGCAAACTGAGGCCACGGATGGGACGTGCGGGGAGGCACAGCTCTCCTGTGAGCCAGCACTGCTCCATTACTCACCACAACGTGGAGCTGCACCTCTTCGCCTGGAACACCCTCCCGGTCCAGGTGGCCACTCACAGTGATGACCCCTGTGCTGGTGTCAATTGTGAACAAGCTAGTGATGTCTGATGGAGAGGAAGACAAGAGGAGCATCTCATCAGCTGCACTTGAACGAGGAAGCACTTTAGACTGAGAAGAACATATGACCCATTTTTCCTGAGCCTTCAGGGAGTGCTCCTACAAGAACGGTCCTCCTGCCATCCTACCCCCACATGTACGGATGACCAGTCTCTGCCCTTTCCTTCCTCAGCACTTGGGGTGGCAAGAGCAGACTTCCACATCCGGCTGCTTAGCCTTAGACTGTGGCAGAAACCCCGTTTGCAAGCCACCTGCAGCTCATCGCAGGAAGAGGCACAAAGGAGTGCGGCAGAATTGTCCAGCAAGGACAAGTGGAAGCCTGGCCGGCATCTCAGGGAAAAAGGGATAGAATAGCCAGGTTGGCCTTTATAGCACCCGAGCGATGGGGCAGAGAGACATGGGGTGGACTGCCTATGGCAGGTAAGCAGTATGGGGCCCTCAAAGAACTGGAACATCCAACAGCCCTGCCACCATGGCTTCGGATCCAGGAGTACAAAAACTGTAGTCCAAAACATCTGGAGGGCTCCAGATTGCCTGCCGTTAGTCTACACCCAAAAGAAACCTTGGCCAACCTGCTTCTGTCAAGATACGTTGGCCTACAACTCCCACAATGCCCCATGGAAAAAGATCCTGACGAGTAGAATGTTCTCTAGAGATAAAACATAAGAGCAGGAAGCGGAAGCTAGACACTTTGTCCATCTAATTCTGTCTGCACTTGGTGCAACTGAGGTGGCACGAAAGCACAGCAAGGACATGGTGCTGTTTTCCTAACTGACATGATGCTAGATCAACATACCTGTATAAGAAGCAGAGCACATGCGTCACGACTGACTGTGTCAGTGCAAATAGCCAACATCTAAATGGAGGAACCACACGGGCCTTTTGCCTGTCGCTCCACTAACTCTCAACTGCAGCCCCTCAGTTTCTTGATGTTTGCTTTCCCTGCTCTTTTTGTCCTGTCAAGTTGAACATCTCCCCAAATGGCTACATGCGCAGACTGGCCTGTGGCGACCCTGCACCTGTGTCCTGATTGCACCCTTGAGGCTCGTGCCTGCCCAGGCCCCTCCTTCCGTCACTCACTGGTGATGCTGTAGTGGATGATGTCGTTCACTCCCTTGTCTCTGTCGATGGCGAACACCTTCACCACTGGGGTCCCCTGGAATGAGGAAAGCCTTCGTGAGGGCAGGGCCAATGGTGTACCGACTGCAGTAAGTCAGAAAGAACTCGCCTGTAGCTACGGTGGACAACCTGTCAACCGCCCTTTCTGGCTGCTCACATAGCAGCAGCTTGATCTGCAGGAATTCGAAGGCGACGCTGTGACATGCACACTTGACATGGTGAGGGCAACGGAGAGCACTGGTGAAGCAGAGAGCAGTGCTGCCAGGAGGCCAGGCTGTCTGTCTCACTAGGCTGGTCACCTAGCGGGGTCATCCAGGCAGAATGGTCACAGCTGAGGCTCCAGTCTTAAAAATATAGTGTCAGAGAGCCTTTCGGGGAATATGTCAGAGTCAGAATTGTGGCTGGTCCTGGATGGAGATCACTGGAGCCCCCAACAACTGAAGAGTGGAGAAATGGACTGGTGGAATACGTTGTTTAGAAGACTGTTAGAGGAATGTGCAGCATGATAAGTGGATCTGAGGTGTTTAGAAAAGATAGGGAAAGCGGTAGAGGATCTGAAGTGATTGGAGGATTTGTTGCTGTATAGATTATGGAGTTCTTTTGTGTTACATTTTTATGGGGTGTTGACGGATAGATTTTAGGGGCTGATTATACAGGTTGGATTTGTATCAAACTCCTTGACAACTTTGCATATTTCAGCTTGCTCTGTCTATTATAGTTGTTTTGCTTTCATTTTTTTAAAAGCTGAACCTCCAGACCAGATGCATCTACCCTATTCAGGAGCAACAGCCACATCAGCTGGAGAGAATGGATCTCTCTGGTGATGATGGAGATGGAGAAAACTCTGAAGGGCAGCTACTGGGCAGAGGTGGAAGCTGGAGAAGACTTTGGCTAAGGATCTTTCACAGAAAACAGCAGTGACCTCAAGCTAACTGCTTGGCACTGTGCAGGAGAAGGCAATGGTAAAGCCCTTCTGATTATTTCTTAACTCATAAAGCCTATGGTGAAACAATCCCAAATGAAGCAAGAGAGTGCCAGGAGATGAGACTCCCGGTCATAAGGCATTCAACAAGTGAATGGAGAAGAGGTACAACAGTACTATTGCTTATGGCACAACTAAATCAAAGCCACGAAGAAGTCTTTCCTTTTGCACAGAAGGGAAAGGAAAGTCCAATGCTGCACAACACATACAACTGGAACATAGAATGTGAGAGGTATGAATCAAGGCAAACTGGAAACTGTAAAGTAGGAAATCGAAAGAATTAACAATGCAGTATTTGGTGTGAGTGAACCAGAACTGGACTGGAATGAGCCATTTTCAATCAGACAAATACAGAGTATTTAACTTTGGAAATGACAAACTCAGAAGAAATGTAGTAGCTGTAAAGCTAAGATGGGCACAGGCAGTAAAAGGCTATAATGCAAAATTTGAATAATATCAGTCTGAATTTGTGGAAAACTTATTAACATAACCATTCAATCTATGCTGCAAAAACAGATGCAGAAGAAGAAACGGAAAAGTTTTATGCAGGTTTTCAAGAGGAAATTGATAACATACCAAAAGAAGACATCTTGAAAATTATAGGTGACTAGAATGCAAAAGTAGGAAACAAAGCAAATTCAAATGTTATGAGAGAATTTGGCCTAAGAATCAAAGCAGAAGAATCGCTCATAGAATTCTGTGAAGCCAACAATGTGTTATTACAAATACATACTTCAAGCGACCTATCAGAGGACTATATATATGCACATAACCAGATGACCAATCAAATAGATTACATAATTGAAATCAGAAGATGGAGATGCTGTATTCTTACTGCCAAAGCTGAAAGAGATCACTAACAGTAGCTTAGTGCCAAAATACAAGTTAAGTAACATTCCTGAAGAATTTAAATTTAAGTCCACATTAAGAATAGATTTGCACCACTGAATTCAATTACACATGAACCAGAGGAATCGTGGACTGAAACCAGAGACATTATGAGTGAAGAAGGCAAAAGGACAATTTCTGTAGCGAAACAAAGGGAAAAAAACCCTCGATGAATGATGGAAGAAATGGAATTGCTTCTCAGAGGCAGAAAGCAATAGGTGACAGAAGCATGGCCAGAATCTTGAATGCGGCTTTGAAGCAACTATCATGTAGAGACTGAAAGAACTGCTATAAGGACCAGTGCAAAGAAAAAGAGCAACAAAGGAGGAGGAAAAACAAGGCATCTGTTCCAGAAGATTCAAGAAATCAAAGGGAAATTTAGGCCTTGATTAGGAAGGCTGAAAGACCAACAGGAGAACATGCTATTTGACCTGGATAAAAGAAAAAGAAGGTAAAAACAATATACAGAAGAACTGTGCAGAGGATATAAAAGGATGGCAAACTCCTTCAAAGAGGAATCCTGGGAGGAAGAACCTGCAAAATTAAACAGTGAAGTGAAAGCAACTACTGGAGTGCATCAAATAATTTCAGAAGAAGATTAGTCTGTGCTTTATGGACCACAGCAAAGCCTTTGTGTGAATCACAAACCACTATAGATGAAATGTGGGTGTCTCAGTACTTGATTGTCCAGATGCATAACCTGTTCCACAGACAAGCTGCTACTGTGAGGACAGAATATGGAGAAACGGTTGTTTCCCTTAGGCAAAGGTATCAGGCAAAGGCGACTGTTGTTGGACCATCCTCAGACTTTTATGTATAGGGCTGGGTATAAAAGTTTTAAATAAATAAATAATAAGTGAATATTTTATGACCTTATCTGTTCAATGTATACTCAGAACACCCCATAAAGAAAGATGGATTAGGATCAGAGGAAGGAGGAGTTAAAACCGGAGGAAGACTTATCAATAATTACTCTGCAGAATGATACCGTATTACTGATAACAGGCCCCAGTGGATGGAAATGAAATAAAGAAAGTGCAAAAGCAGGACTGCAGCTGGACATCAAGAAAACAAAAATCATGCTTACAGTCGAATTACACAACCTGAATATCAACAAGGAAGGAATTGAAATTGTGAAAGATTTTGCATTTTTTGGCTCAGTCATCAATTCAAACAGGGACTTCAGCCAAGAAATTCAAAGAAGTCTGAGACTCAGAAGTGATGCAGTGAAAGAACTAGAAAAGATAATTAAGCGTTAGGACATTTCACTGGAGACCAAGGCCAAGATCATCCACACTATTGTATTCCCCACCACTGTGTTTGGGCCTGAAAGCTGGACAGTGAAGAAATCTGGTAGGAAGAAAATTGACTTGATTGAAACATGCTGCCAGAGGAAAGCTTTGCGAATACGCTGGACTGACAGAAAGACAAACAAGTCCGTCCTAGATTAAACCAAGCCAGAACTGAATCTGTCATCCTTTGAGCATGTCAAGAGAAAGCTCACTGGAGAAGGCAATAATGCTCAGGGATGTTGAAGGCAGAAGAAGAGGAAGATGCCTGATGCCAACATTATATATGTTTCGGGGACCAGACAAAACGTTCTTATTTTCCCACCATTTTTATTGTTGATTATGCTATGCAGTTTTATATTGGCTTTTAAACTGCTTTGATATAGGTGGAATGATTGTTATTATGATATTATGTATTGCTCTGTTACTGTTTTATCACATGCCTGTTGAATTTTATTATGTGAATGTTTTATGACAGGCAAGTTTGTTTTAAATCTGTTTTGAAATTGATCGTTATTTGCTATTTTAAGTATATTCTGTACACTGTTCTGAGAGCTTGTCTAATGAAGCAGTATAGAAATACCTTAAATAAATAAGGCCAAATATCAGTTGGTTAGACTCCATAAAGAAAGCCACAACCTTAAGTTTACAAGAGCTGAGCAGGGCTGTGAAGGATCAGATATTTTGGAATGCATTCATTCGGAGGGTCACCATAAATCAGGGTCAACTTGATGGCATGTAGCAACAGCAACTTTTAACTGCAGGGAGATAAAATATCATCACTAATTCCGACATATCCAGCTACTGCTAAGATCACAGCCAGAAGGACTGACTCACGTTGGAAACTCTGTCTCTGCCCATACACACCTGTAATGTCGACCAGTTTGTACATAATGAGAAGTCACCTGGATGATTTTCCCTGCAAGACTTCTTATTGCGGTGGCCATCAGCTTTCTGAATGTTCAAGACATGGGGAGGGTGGAATGTTGGGGTGGTTGACAAACTACCCAGAACCCATGAGCTGTTTTAGGACTGAGGGTGATTTGTGAATCACTGCAACAACCCAACATTGCTGGGTTCAGATGCAATAAGATACGGTACAGCTTGAGCATCAAAAGTGGCTGCCGCCGGTGTCACAAGAAGTCCTGTGGGAAAATTTATGTTGGTGTTTTCTTGTTATGAGATCAGAGTATACGGTAGTATCAGGCAACGGTGGGAAGAAAACAGTTTCTTCTTTTTAATTGGCCACTGTTTAGGAACCATGTGAGTTATAGAGTCATCTATAATTTCTGTGAAACGAAGTGGAACTAGACTCTCTGGGGCAGCTTTTCCTAGCCTGGCTTCCTCCAGATGTTTTGGACATCAATTCCTGACCATTAGCTATGCTGCTAGTGGCTTCTGGATGTGGAAAGTCAAAACCTCTAGAGATCCCCCATCTCCCCACCCTGGTATAGTCGTCCTTGTGCCCCTGTGCAAATCCCAAGTGGTGTTAGGGTTAGGCCAAAAGGGTTGTCAGCGAGTGATAGCATGGTATAAGTTGCACACAGTCCCCCAGGAGCTTATGGCTCACAACTCACACTGGGGACCGAATCGGAACGGGTCATGAGCAGATGTGACCTGTGGCCACTGCATGAGTGACACCCCAACTCTGTTGCTCACTTTGATCATTACGAGGCATGGGAACGCCTTCCTGCCTCTTGAGAAGAGGAGGAGGAGTAAGCCCACATATGTGCCACATTAAAACATATGCACACAGAGAGAGACATTGAGAAATAATTTGATCTAAAGTCACAAATGCCCTTCCAACAAACAGACCTAAATTTCCCCAGTCAAATGCAGCCAGATCAGAAGCTGCAGACTCTTGGCTCTTGAGGGTCAGCACACAGGGGAAGAGCCCTGCGGGATCGGAGCAGAGCCCATGCTAGTTCAGGGGTCTGTTCCCTGCAGTGACCAAACTGATGGCTCTGGGAAGCCTATAAAAGTAGGCCATGAATGTCAGGTCCCCAGAAGCTGGTTTTCAGAGCCACGGAGCCTCTGATACTAGCGGCGTAGCACTGGCCGGGCTAGTAGCCACTGGTAGCTCGGAAAGAGCCAGAGGAGCTGGGGAAGGATCACCTTACCAGGGGGCAGTTCTCCGGCACTGAGCCTACATACGGCCCTCCCAGGAACTCGGGGTCCAAGTCAGCCACGTCAACAACTGTCACAGACAGATAGGCAGTGTTGTTCTGATAGACAAGTGCATTGTTCAGCTGTCCCCCATTATCCTAGAGAATACAGAGAGAATACAGTGATCGCTTGAACTGGTTGTTGGTCTCCTTTCTTTATCTTCCCAGTAAGTATCCTTTTCTCCATAAAAATGCTATATTGCCACATAGCTGAAGTGTGCAGCTGCCTGGGATTTTGCACTCTCATGGGAAAGCCTGAATTAGCATATCTCCTGGGTTTGCCTCTCAATAAACATCCAGGAGTTAAGCTCTTTTTCACAATGCTGCATCCTGCAAATTGGCTGGCTCTTTCAACACATAAAGTCAGAACTGTTAAGGAGGCAGTTGTTGCAGCCTATGAATAATTTTCTTATGGGCTGCCAAAACCAGCAAGGTAAAAAATGGAGCTTATCACACCACTGGACCCCCCCCACACACACACACCCCAATCTGTTTTTAGGTTTCAGCTTCCCGTAAATATATGAAACCTCATCCTTAGCTCATCTCTTAGGACCACTGGAGCAGTTTCAGGGTACGTTCTGTCCTGGCTGCTGTGGTCCTCTCCACCCACTGCTGCCCTATACTGGCTGAGAGGGAGCAGGAACAGGGAGCCCCACGTTCGAGGCTGGAGTTGGGAACGGGAGGCTCTCATGGCCCCTCCATGCTGTCTCAGGGAATGCAGACTCCTTCCAGCAGAGTATTCAGGGAAGGATCAGCATGCGAAGGAACCTCTCAGTAAGCCTTTTCTGAGAACTCTTCACAGCAGAGGGTCCGCCAGCAAGGGCAAGGGCGACGTGCACATGTCGCTGTGCCCTTGGAAAGCCCTCGCTGCAGAACGTCACATGGACAAGATATAGTGCTTCTTGGTAGGCATCATTTTCCCTTACACTTTAAAACGTATTGTGGCTGTTGTTAAATGCAAAGCATGACTCATCCGGCGCATCCCAAAAGAAGGAACTAAAAGGCAGGAGCAGAAAGGAATTGATAAAAAGACAATGCACTTTGGCTGGCTACTTACAATGCTAAGGGCATGATCCTGTGTGTGCTCAGGCAAAAGCAAGCCCTTACAGCTCCAAGGGGGCTCTAACTGGCCAGGGCGTGCTGGGAATTGTATGTTTTCTTTCTGCCTAAACTTGCACAGGGCTCTGTTGTAAGCTTCATTCCACATTTCTGGAGAAGCTGGCCTGCTCGATCCCATGCTCAGATTGTAGGAGAAACGGTAGGGAGGCCCTTAATGAAATACACAAAGCCCGCCCCTAGCTCCTTGCATTGCTGCTGGGTATCACTACATTTCTGCATCACTTCCCCCTGCAAAAGCAGCCCTGAAAAAGATGACATACACTAATACAAATGCTGTACTGTATCCATAATGCATTTAACCCAAACAAATACAAAGAGTAACCAGCACAATACAGACAAGCAAACAAAGACACCTTAAAACACACAAGACAGAACCATTTTTTAGCCAATCACACCTGCACAGCCGTTCGAAACAGCACCCAAGTGCAGGTGGCACCCCAGAAGGAAGGGAGGGCAGAGTCCCTGTCATGAGAAATGACGGCCTGATCAATGCGGGTCGGGGTCACTGCATACAACTGCTCTGCCTGCAGTAGCCTGCTGACCCCTCTCTTCTCATACAAGCCCCACAGCTGTGGGAGCCTTCCTTCCTTCCTTCCTTCCTTCCTTCCCTCCCTTTCCCTCCCCATCTTTTCCTCCGCTGTGTACATTTGCTGAGTCTCACCCGGGCTAGGATCTTAATTCGGTAGAAAGTGCTCTTGTTATTGTAACTAAGCGACCCATTCAGCACCACCGTCCCATTGTAGAAAATGTAGAAGAGCTGGCGATTCTCTGCGTTGTTGGGGGTGACCTGTGGAAGGTATACAACGTGTTTGTTTATCTACATAGGCATTTCTTTTGTTAGGGTACAATCCTATGATCCCCGGAGAATGTCACAGAGAGCACACCAGTTTTCAGATTTTGGACGGGACGCCCTCATCCGTCTGCTCACAGCTGCTTTGAAAGAGCTGCAGTGCCTGCCTTAAGAGACTGCAAATATTATGGAGATTAAAAAGCAGGGTGATCTGGTGGACAGGGAGGGAAAGGGAGAAGATAAATTGGAATATGCAATTCCCATTATTATGTATGGTCTTTCTCTGTTGTTAGTACATTTGTACCTGTCTTTCTTCCTGTTGCAGCAGAACCCAAGGTAGTTGGCAAGTTTTCCTTCTTCTCCATTTTACTTTCAGAACAACCCTGTGAGCTGCTCAGGCTGCGCGCAAGTGCCTGTCTTGAAGTTGCCCAGTGAGCTTCCTGGCTCGGTGCCACATTTCCCAGTTGCCCCATCCAGGGCTCCAACTACCACACCACACTGGCGCTCCCCTTATGGTGCTGCAGCCACACTGGCTGTAATGCCCACTGGCCAGAGCTCTCTGTCTATTGTACTTATTGCACATAAAGTACAATGGGAATGTAATATAAAGATGCAAAGAAAACATCATAAAGCAGTGGCAGAACATTTAAAAAAGCAATTTAAAATCTTGTGGCCGCACTAGCTCGGATCCTGACTTCACAACTATTCTAGGTGGGCTCAGAGCGACATTTTGAAAAGGTGGGTGGAGAGCTGGAAGGTGCTGCTGTCCTTCCTCCTGCCTAGAAGGGCACGGACAACTCGGAAGCCTCTGAGATGGGGTTCCCAGCAAGAGCGGCTGGGCCCTAAATGTCCCCACCATTCCTCCAAAAACCGATGCTCAAGCGGCCAACAGCAAGATCCAGATTAAATAAAAACCACCTTAAAGCATAACATAAAAGCAAATGTATTTTTAAACTCAGTTAGAATTGCAACAGTAAACAGCACCCAACCAACCGTGAGGCACATTCAGCAGCAGTGTACAAAAAAGGCCCTTGCCTGCCAGCAGAAGCACCACGAAGCAGGGGCTAGCCTTGCCTCCCGCCACAGGCTGAGTCGTGGGCAGTGGCAAAACGCAAGACTTCATCTGGAGCAAGACAAACATTCTGCCAAGAATGAATTTTCGGCAAAGAAACACCGAGGATATTACAGATTATCAGACAGGGATGTCTTTATTTTGCAGCTATATTTATGCCTCACTCCTTTGTCACAAAAGATACCTCATTGGGGTGGTTGGGTGAATTCTCAGCGCAAGAAGCACAAGGAAGGAATAGGGCTTCCACATGATAGTAACAGGAGCGTAGAATCATAGAATAGTAAAGCTGAAAGGGGCCATTGGGTCCAACCCTCTGCTCAGGGCAGGAATTGTCCTCATTTTGCTACCTTTCACCAACCCACATTGCCCAAATGGGGAGCAAGCATTTGAGTTCTCCAGGAAGCTTAATCAAACTGAATGTTTTGCAAAGCCAGGGGAGTGGGGGGAAGCGAGAGCAGTGCAGGAGCCCAAAGGTTTACACTGGTCACAGTCTTAAGAATGGGCGCAGGAAGAGGTTCTGATTAATTTGACAGCTTGTTTCCTAATTCATGACATTTTGCCTAGTCTAATTTTATTTATTTATTTAAAGTATTACTAGACCAGTCTATAGCAAATGCTCACATACCAATAAAGTTATTGTACTATTATGTATAATATAATACCAATATAGGTATTGTACTGAGAGCCAGTGTGGTATAGTGGTTAAGAGCATGGAACTGGGACTCAGAGGATCTGGGTTCTAGTCCCTGCTCAGCCATGGAGCCAACTGGGTGACTTTGGGCCAGTCACAGACTTTCAGCCCAACCTACCTCACAGGGTTGTTGTTGTGGGGACAAGATGGAGGAGGAGAATGGTATAGGCTGCCTTGAGCCCTTTGTAGGAAAAAGGCAGAATAAATAAGTAAATAAATATTATGGATTTCTTCCTTATGAGCTATTATTACTGCCTGTGTGTGTGTATCCTTTAATAATATCCTCAGATCTGCTACATGCTATTCTCTTCTTTGGGAGTTGAGACAGAGACGCTCAGGGGTCATTTAGCCACTGTGGGCAGGCATGATCCAGGCCTTCCTTCCTCAACAGGCATCTTGCATATTCGTTTGGACCTGAACTCCCCCCACCCCAGCCAGGGTACCCATCAGAGAGTGGGTCTAAGGGAACTCTGGGTAGCCGGGACTTGCTGGTGCTGCAGGCACTGACTCCTACGTACACCATGCCAGGTTCAGTCCTTGGCACTTCCCATCTCCAGGACTTCAGGCAATCTTGGATTTCCATCCAAGACTCTGATGAGACACAATTAGACAGATCAACTTTTCCTGACCTGGTGCACACCTGATGTGCTGGATCTGACTGGCTGAGAACACACCTGGAGGGTGCCAGGTTGGAGCAGGGCTCACCAAGCCACATTTGGTGCCCACTGAAGTCGCCCCCTTATATTGCAGACACTCACTTCTTCAATGGAATAAGAGACTTGTCCAGCTGTTCCACTGTCTTCATCGAAGGCCAAGACGTTGTAGATTGGGGAACCAACTGGGGTATTCTGAAAGACAGAGGATAGAGCACAGGCATGGGGAGAATGATAGCTTGTTCCCTGCTGGGAGCACCTGCTTAGGATCATAAGCCTCGCTGGATGCAGGTTGCTGAGCTGTCTACACCCAGCAAGGATGGGTGGCTGGACGGCCAGCAAACCTCCCGGAAATCCATGGCTTGTTCTAGCTTTTCAGTGGGGCCTATCAGCCACCCCAGCCAGCCACCCTTGCCAGGTTTAGACGCCACGGCAAGCTGAGTCCAGTGAGGGTCATTATGCTAAACAGGTGATTGGTGTCCAGCACACAGAAGGAGGAGAAATAAGCCACATCTTTGTGCACCATTATTGTGTGAACCAGGTCAGACTTCAGCAGCTCCCAGTTCCTTAGTTCATCATCTTGGCCTGGGAAGACCCTCAGATATTCACACAGACTGTTGGGAGCAGGGCTTTTTTTTCCATAGAACACACCGGAACAGCGTTCCGGCACCGTTTTTTGATGGATTTTTCCAAGTGATTGTGAATCGCCCTGTTGGGTGTAGCAGATCATTAACATAGTGCCTGCGGGCTGCTTGTGTGTTGGCACTGATTGTCAGGGTGCTGCTCGGCTTGGGATGCTGCTCGGCTTGGGATCGCTCAGTGCGCCGGTGGCGACCATTGTGTAAAAATGTGACCCCAAGATTTGAGTTCCGGCACCTTTTTTTTTTTTTTTACAAAAAAAGCACTGGTTGGGAGGAATAAAGGGAAGCGATATTTACAGGAGCTGCTTTCAACCTATTTACACAGGCCTGTGCAGAGGCCTGAGCACCCAGACTCAGAAATGGATCAGTCTTAGATGTCAAGCAAAGCAGCCATTTCTGGCCTGTTCATGGACTCCTTTGCTCTGCACATGCAGTGGTGCATTCAGGCCAGACGAGGGTCCGAATGGCCCGGGCCCCATTCAACAGGAGGACATGGCAGGGGGGATTCAGGAGGTATACTCTCCCCATTTCGAAGAAAGAGTTCGCTTACTCATGACCATCTAGATAATGCTCTCTCCCATAAGGCCATTAATCCCATAGTTTTGCTGGGACTTCAGTGTATGGGCAGGGGAGAGCTTGTCCTTCCCTCTGTAGCTGCAAACCCAGCGAAAATCCTCTCCCCAGCCTGGTGCAGCAGGTAGATCCCACCGCACACACACACACACACACACCTCCCTTGACCTCATTGGGAGCTTTCCTGCAAAGCATAGTTGCCACACCAGGAACGAGGTGAGGTGGTGCTTTCACTGGGTACATCCCCAGGAACAGAAGGGCTCTGCCACACTTTGTTGTGCACTGTGGTTCCAATAAAGATTGAGACCTCCTTACATTTACTTCTGGCATTTCCAAAAATGCAGTAGGGGCTGCACAATACACATCTAGCCTAATGTGCAATCAGGTCCTACATTACCCAGGTGTGCTGCTGTGGACACAGCCTGAGATTCCTGCAGGTCACAAACTGGGAACTATTCTCCAGCTGGGAAGCTCCTGGAACCCCTCCCACCCCTTGCTGCAAAAGGCAGTAGTCCTTCCTCATTGCCACTGGAAAGAGATAACCCAGACGCATGCAGATTCCGCCTTCCACTTTTTCGTCTCACAGTCCAAGTAATGACCGTAGCGCAGCCTTTCCCAGTGGGGGGCCCTGAGATGTCTGGGGCTGCAACTGCCTTCCCCTTCTTCAGCTTTCATTGTGCTGGCTGAGTTGGTGGGAGTTAAAAGCCACACATCTGGAGGGCACTGAGCTGGGGAAGGTTGCAATAGGACATGCTTTGCTAGCAGGCAGTGGGATTGCAATGGCAGGGTTAACACAGGCCCAGCTGGCCTTCCTTCCATGGGGCGCAGGGGCCCAGGAGCTACAAAAGCCACTTCACAAATTGCCCCAAGGCCGTAGAGGTGGCTGCCACCCACCAGTAGAGGGCAAGTGTCTTAAACTCAGAGCATGCCAGCATGGCTTCTGCAGTCTGGGACTGTGGTTCGTCCAGAGATCGCGTGCTTTGCACGCAGAAGGTCCCAGTGTCTGTCCCCAGCATCTACAGGGAAGGCCGAAACAGCTCCTGCCAGAAACCCTGGAGAGTTGCTGCCAGTCCGTGCTGACAGTGCTGAGCTAGATGGACTAATGGACTGGCTCAGTATGAGGCAGTGTCCTTGTGTTGCTGTGGACTGGACTGGACTGGGATCTTCATTACAAAGAACAGACATCTACGGAATCATCCTGAACATGAGATCAAACAGGCACAGGTACCTCAAGGACTTCTGTAAAATAGGGCTCATTCTGGAAGATCGGCTTGTTGTCATTCCGGTCTTTTACAATGATGGTGAGTGTTTTAGAAACCTGTGGGAGAATGAGAAGAGCTGGGCACTCAGCGATGCAAGAGACTAAACAGAGGATGCACAGGTGGGTAAAGCCTGTACAGCAACAAGCTACAAAGAAGGGCAGGGCTCCCAAACCTTTTAACGCTCACACAGAAGAGCAGCACCAGCAGGTACAGCTCATCAAAGAGGGTTGAGGGAATGCTGCACCGGCAGAAATACTGCATTTGCACAACTATTAATATGAAACTGGTTCCTTGCCAGCCTTTGCAACTGGTCACCCAGCACAGAATTGTGTGGAGCCTTTCCAGGATCCACAACTGAGAGACTTAGATCTCAGCAGCCTGCAACCCGCATTAGCCATCACCACAGGCTATGCTGGCAAGGGCTGATGGGAGTTGTAGGCCAAACCCCTGGAGGGCCACAAGTTGCTCACCCCTGATTTAGGGATGGTGAGGGTGTGGTTTGGTCAGCTGCTACTCCCAGTCCCCTGAGAATTGGAACAGCTCTCAACATACCCTTCTCCTACTTTACCACTCTACAGGCAGGATTCCCAGATGGATACCTACTCCTTACAAGTAAGATCTTCTCTCCCACCCACTCCTGCATATTCCCACACTTACAGCTACATTCAGCCTGTCTGTCACTTTGGCTTCAACACGAATTGTTTTCGTTAGCTGGAAGGAAACAAAAAAGAGGCACACAAACATCATCGCTTGATAAAGATGGACACGAACACCACCTCACCAATCAGCACATCCCTTTCTCTGAGTCAGATTAGTTTGATTCCTCAGAGACAGGGAATTCTTAGCCACCAGGTATACTAAGGACAACAAATCCATTCCTCCCTGTCACAGATCAGAGACTAATCTATTTAATATCCTTCTTTTGGATCATGTCTGGTGACAGCTTTTTACAAAGCAGAGCAGGCTAGTGAGCTCCAAAGCCTGCAGTTGCTGCCATCATGTTTAAACATCTACTTCTTTTCCTGATTGCTATTCCTCTTATGGCTGCATCTACACTGATGAAGGGAAATGCCAAGGCTTCCACCTCAAGAGGGGTTCTGAGGCCAGGGGACCATTAGAAACATTCCTGGCCCTTGGGAAACACATCACCTGGGTGGCTGACTGCATGTGGATGGAGGCGTTCCTGTGTTCTCTTATCAACATGGGATGTATCACAGAATGAGCAGCAAGTAGCAGTGGTAAGTAACAGTGTAAGGGAAATGCCATTGTTTTTTAGGTAGGTAAGGATACCTGTTCAATTCAATGACAATTGTACTTTGAAGTGATGTGGAGATCTATGGAGCCTGCCTGCTTTCCCAAAAGCCATTAATTAATTAATTGACTGATTAATTAATGTCTATACTGTCCCATAGCTGGACTGCTCTGGGCAGTTTACAAGGGTGGGCAGAAGATTCTGACAGTTCTCTAAGTGATCTCAGCAGACTGGCCAGATTTTTGACTCCACATGATTTAATGATTGCAGCAACAAAATGATGTCCTTCTCTTGGACTAAATTATATTGCTGAAATGAGGAAACTTTAGTGTAACCAGAATGGATTTTCGTGCAGCAGGACAATGAGTTATGTTCCTGGGCTCTTCTTTTTACAAGTCTTTTGGGTCTGGTTCCAGGTGGTAATTCTTGGAGTGTTAGTTTAAAAAACACATACAAAAGGTAGATGCAATTAACACAGAACCAAGTAATATTGGTTTTGTTTGAATAAACCATGGCAAAATGGATAATCTTAAAACCCTGGAAAAGATTGAATCACAGAAAACAGAAGAGATTTTTTTTTAAGATGTAGGAAAAAAAAGATGCAATCATTTTGCTAGAACCAAACATTTCTATTGAGTTGGGGCAATATTCCTTTCGTTCCCAGACATCAAAGAAACAACCCAGCAGTTTTAGCTAGGCGTTGTTAGCGGGCACAAAGCCACTCTGTCTTGCGTTCCCTGAAAAACCTTAAACTGGTATCATACAACATTCTGCCTCTCTCATGATAAAACCATAAATAAAGGAGGAGATGAAACCTCCTCCTTTGGAGGAGCAAAGATTCTATTTTCAGGTATACCCAATGTGCTCATAAGACAGGTGTTTTTAAGAACATTTCAAAAACACCTTGGTATTGCAGCAGATATTTAAATTTAACTTGAACATCTGAGTCCAGCTGGTAGTCTGCAAGAAGCAAAATAGGGGAAATTCACAAGATTCCCATCTGCAAGGAAGCACCGCACCAGACTGAATCATGATTAAAAGCTACTTGGGAGTAACTCACTAGTCCATTCCAGAGCAACAGTATTCCAGTCTCAAACCACTCCTGCAGGTTTGATGTTATGGAGAGAAATGGCTTGCAGACAAAAATAGGGTTGTACTTTTGGCCTAAGTAGCTTCAGCTTACATGCTGGGTCTGATCTTATTTAAATGCAATCCAGTTTTGATCCAGATCTACACACTAGTTGTGCTTCTTTACAAATGGGAACTTGTTGAGGTTCTCCAATTTTCACTTCCAAGCTTGACCTGTCTCCTTCTCATTCTCCAATGAAAGTTTTTTGTTGCTGCTGTACAAATGAAAACTGCTCATTTGGGTGCATTTCTATAGTATACACCCAATTCTGTATTTTCCCCTCCATTGACTCAAGTGTGAAACTAACTAACAGTTTTCTTCCAAAATGCACTGTTTTTAAAATGCAAATTTTCTTAATGTGAATATAAGCCTGGGAATATGCAAGCGTTTCCCCCCAGAATGTGCTTGCATTTGTGTTCACATCTGGGGGTGTGAATTCTGATTGAAAATGAATGTATTATGGTTGTTATTAATTTCTTGTTTATCCTGCACCACAGCAGAAGCTCTCTGGACAGTTCGTAGAATCCTCATGCGTCACTGCGTCTTTCAGCTTCACAGGAAACCCAAGCATTTCTTATGTCAACCTCTTCTGGAATATCACTGAGGCAGAGCAGCTGAATGCACCGTCACAGCATTCATGGAGAGGATGGGAGAGGAACGAAAGGCAACTTGTGGTGCATCCCCATAATAGCAAAAACAGCCTGAGTTTTGACACATCGTGCAGCCCATCGATACCAAGACATTCTTGATATCTGATATGCAATGCATTCAAATAAAAAGAAAGCACTGCCTGGCTTCTCCCCGTTAAATATATGCTTATTCTCTAGCTCACCCTTACCTCATAATCCACTCTTTGCTTTAGTGTCACGTTGCCTGATTCACTGTTTACTGAGAAGTAGAAGCTGTTTTCACCTGCTAAGCTATAGAACAATTTATCTCCATCAACATCCACAGCCACCAGCTGAAAAACCCAGGCTCCTGCAAAGAGAAATGGGGACCAGAAGTGGTTGAGGGTGGGGGGAATTGACCCAGCCAAGGTATCTGGTTTAAATAGTCATCATGACAACAGAGCCACCTCTTTTCTTCAAGGGAGAACCAGTCCTGAGGGATCTGGGGGCTCCTTGCGCCCTCTTTGCATCCCAGCCCATCCCTTGGCTTGGGCATGGGGAGCCAAATCTCCATGTATGGATGTGTGTCTATCTTCTCAGCTGAGCTTAGGAGTTGGAGAGAAGAGGGCAAAGCCAGAGACTAGCCTTTCCCAGCCTGGTGCCCTCCAAATGTTGCCTTCCCGCCCCCGTTATCCCAGCTGGCCTCCTCCTATCTGCACACTGGGAAAGGTGATGTGAGAATGATGTGAGGATCTCGCACTGTTCACACAAATGAAGTGTTGGCCATTAATTATGGCATCTGGCCTAGTTATTTACTGGCAGACTGTTTATGCTATGTGTACGCCCATTGAAGCTGTTTATAGTATCTGTCTGATTTAGTGGGCAATCCTACTGTGACGGCCATAAGAACCTGAACCGGGAGGCTTATGGTCATCCCATGCAACTTGCACTCTGCCTTTCAGCTACGTAGATGGAAATGTTGGGGCATCTGCCTGTGGCATTTTGGGCAGAGAAGGAAGGAGGCCAGACTTCCATTAGGACCCATTCCATCCCAGTCACCCCGGCCTCCCCCACTTGCTTTTTCTCCTCTCCAAGGTAATTTTCCTGACTCCAGAGAGAGGCAGCAGTATTCTTTCCTGCATTGTGGGGAGGGGGAGGGGATCGGAGCACCATTTCCCAGCTCCAAGGTGGAGAACTGTCTCTGGCCACAGAACAGGGAATTGGAATTATCCTAAGATAATTCTCAGATATTCTCAGACTCAGTCTGGGGCCCATAGGATTGTTCCCTTGTGCAATTTATGTAAGATTTTTATGCTACTTTCACATACTCGTTCTAATTGGTTATTAATGTTATTCTGTTTTACACTTTCTATTTATACCATATGAATATTTTTTGAATCCCATATATGAATGTATGAAAATTCCATCTGGGAGCTGCTGGATTCTCTGTTTCAGCCCTGCAGATTTGATTCAATTCCCCTCCCACTGGTGTTAACTCAGTCTGTTGCAATTCAAGCCCATATCTGGATTCTAGTTTCGTGTTGTTTTAATGGCAGCAATTCGTACTTCTTTTTGGGTATTGGGGGGTTGGGGGAATCTTGAAATTTGCAGTGTCGTAAATTGTTAAAAATGGTGAGCTTGCACATGATCACAAGTCTGCCAGTCTGCTATGCCTATTTCTCTCCTATCAAGGATCCTCCAGTTTGACACCTCGCAGGTGAAGAGGGGATTGGGAATTGACAAGGTCTTTGACAAGCACAGAATACGGCTCCACTGGGCTAAATGAAGCCATGTGCAGAGGTGAGACTGCCAAGGATACTGACAGGAGGGCCATCTAGTTCTAAGATAGCCGGGCTTGCAGGCATTTGAACTTGTACAAGATGGCTAATAAATCTGAAAACGAAGCATAGCACCATTTGCACACATTTCAGGATTCCCCCAAAATTTATGCAAATAGAGAGGAAATCGTGCAAAAGTTTTCTGGAATTGGAAAAAAAAGAAGGCACTGCAGGCTGCCACTGCATGCTATGGCTTAACCGAAATGGAATCCAATTTTCATACATCCCCAATCATATATAGTATGTATATGAATGACTTTCTTTTATTGGGTTTGATAATGATGTTGCATGCTATTATTTTTTGGAATGTATTTGGTCTAAACCCAGTCGTTCTGATACCATACTGGCTTGGCTGATGTGTTGATGTGTTTGCTAATAAGGACATAGGCATGTGTCTTGGTTTATGGCACACGATTTGAGCAGTAAAAAAGCACAGCCAATAAAACGCCGGCCTTTAGTTTTTGCCTGCGATGTCAGTAGCACTCTCCTTTTCACTCACCTACAGGTGTGTCCTCTGGCAAGGAGAAAGAGCTGTTCATGTCAAATCGTGGCGCCGTGTTCCCCGATGCTGCAAGGAAATGGCTGGGTGTGGTTATTAGTTCTCTGTGGAGCCAAAGGCAGTCCCCCAGTCTTTTAACTCTTCCCCTGTTCCCACGCCAGCTTCTGCAGGGCCTCCACTGCCACTGTGGCTGACTTTCCCAAGTCTACACAGCGATGAGTGCTGGTGCCGCCTTGGTTTGGTGGGGCACTGGGAAGGACAGCTGCTCAATATTAAACTGAGCTTGCTGCAAAAGTACCGAGGAAGATCATGTGCCTCACGCAACGGCAATACACCATGTACTCCAGGAAGTGTGTGGCGATCTCTCTGCCACAAGTGGGGGGGGGGGCTTCACTGCCCCATTCTGCCCCAATATAGAGCCAGCTTTGTTACAGAAGAGCTAACTGCTTGGGGTTTCCCAGGAACTGAGGGTAACAGGCAGGCGTAGGTGGTGCAGGATGGGCTGCATGGCCGTTCTTGACCCTGAGCTTCTGCTGTCTGAAGCAGCTGCCTGAGTCTGTCGAATAGCAGGACCCGTCCTGCTATACATCTCCACTGAATCTTCCCATCCACATGCTGCTAAGGATGGCGCACACAAGAGCCACCCCACACTTCTGCAGCCCAATCCTGTGTGTGGACACGTCGACATCGGTCCCATGACTATCAAGCCGTAGAGCACAAGATGGCAGACCTAGCCTTCTGGGCAGCCACCCCACACAAGGCTGGTCTTGGGACTCGCATGACCAGGACAAGACTGTCCAGAGGAGCCCTCCTCACCATGGAAGGTCTTACCTACTGCCAGGAATATGGAGAGAAGCGTCCATGACAGCCCAAGCATCCTGCTCGCGCCAAGGGACCTGTGAAGGCAGCATCAGGAAGAAGGGTCAGTGTGTGGTGGTAACGTAGGGATGGGGGTCCTCTGGCCTGGGGGAAAAGTCCAGCCCTCCTGGGGTCCCACTACGGCCTTCTGGGTACCTAGGATGGCCACCCCCTTCCCTCTCCCCGACCACAGATCATTTGGTGGCTCCCCGGCTTTTGAGAAGAGCCCCACCACTCAAATGCCTCTCCTGAGAACGTAGCAGGAGGGCTGCTGGGTCAGACCAAGGGTCCACGAAGTCCAGCACTCTGTGCACACGGTGGCCAACCAGCTGCCACAGGAAAGCTCCACGCAGGACGTGGGTGCATTGGCACCCTCCCACCCATGCTCCCTAGCCACACGGGCGCAGCATAGACCCATCAGGACTAGTGACCCGCCTTAGCTGGGTTAGCCACTGGCAGGAACTTTGAGCTAAAATACGTTGCTTTTGTGTTCCTGCCCCTTTCACTTCTGGCCTCGCTGCTGCCTTCGCCTTCTGCCCAGCGCACCACTGGAATGCAGCCCCAAAGGCTTCTCTGGACTTCCGTAATTTGGCCCGTGGGCTGAAGAGCTTCCCCTCCCCAGCAAGACACGTCTGCTCTGCCCTGCGCGCCGTGAACAAATCCAAGCCGCCTGAGACCCCACCAGGCTGCTTGACTGGCCTCCCCGGTGAGCCTCAGCAGTACGTGTTGCAAAAGCCCATCGGGCAGAAAAGGCCCACCTAGGAGGACTGATACCGACAACGCATTACTTACACTGCAACTCTGCCAACAGAGGACATTTTATGGGCTTGTCTATACCTCTCAAGTATCATAATAGACTTGGCATTGATTGCATATACGTGCCAATTTCATGCCATGGCAACAGAAAACTCCTATCGCCATTATCATTTTATGTAAGAACAAGTGGGAGGGGACCTCTGCTTATCATCCCAGGATTTCAGTTCCTTCTCTTATCAAACTGCGCAGCACAGCCAGGGCAAATTAGTGACGCAGCGAGTCATATGTGCTGAGGGACAGGCTGATGTGCAGGGTGAAGTATGCAGGCCCCAAGAGGAGGTGAGAAGGGCTCCATCTGGAGATGCAGAAGAGCAAATCCTCAGAACCTGACTGTTGAAAGTCATTGTCTGAAGTTGATGCCAGTTGAAAATCAATACCTTCCATAAAATAGAATTTTTAAATGTGCCATGTCTTTGCATTCATTAGCTCGAACATGGGAAACGGGTGCAGGGTTACTTTTATCAAGTAACTGATCCCTTGCCAGGACATTTTCTTGTTTCTCCGGAAATAATGGGGCTGGAGTCAAGCTTTCAGCAAAGAGGTCTGGAATAATCCTGGGGAGGCACCAAGCTCCAGAATCCTGTCTGCTTGCAGCCAGCACACCTTGAGATCCCTGTCGTGATTCCAAGGTGCTTTCATCAGACCTTCTCAACAGGATGTTTAGGCTGACTTGCCAGTACAGACTCAGTGCACCTGCTGCTCATTCTTGAAGCCCAAACTGGGGAATCTGTAGCCCTACAGATGTTGCTGGAGGCCTACCATGGGCCATGTTGGTTTGGGCTTATGGAAGGTGGAGTCCAGCAACATCTGGAAAGTCATGGGTTTGGTGCTCCTGTCACAAGTCATGCTTTCAGAAGGGTGGCCAGATTCATCAGGATCCTACCCCTTCATCAGCTTTCCTACCCCTTTAATAATTGTGGAGAAGCGGAAATTTCAGCAGCTGTACCTCATCATGACTATCTGACTAAAATTTTCTCTTCTAGAAAAGTGGGGAAGAGGTCCTCCTTCTATCTGGGCACTTTACCCTTCTACCATAAAGTTATTTTTGTCTTATCTGCGAGGAGACGCCTTTCCGATCTGGCATTCTCATTAGCAGCATGGTTTTATTGCAGTTTAATAATTTAAATCGCACCCACTGAACCTGTCCATGGATCAGCGAGGCACAGAAGCACAATTTGCTCAGAAACTGGGAGGTCTGCACAGTCTTATATAACCAACTACTCTTTGCAAGACACTTGGCACAGGATCCATCCTGATGACCTGCCCTGCTCATCCAGATCCCGCCAACGCTCCAGCAGCCCTGGCTCCAGGTTTTGAAAGGCTGGGGCCCCTCCCTCACTAACCCCCCCGCCTCCCACCATTGTCAACAGCAGCTCTTGCACCTCATCACTTCTACCTCCTGCCTGCTTGACAGGCTGAAAGTTGGTGCAGAGGAGGGAGAGGCAGCAGTGGCTTTCCCTCATCGCCACCATCACTGCCTGGGCCAGAAGGAGAGGCAGGTGAACAAGCAGGTTGCCACGGTGGAAAGGAGCAGCAAGCCCAAGGCCATGGGCATCTGCTGGGGCCTGGGACTCTGGTGGGCGTCCAGTCGTGCCTGCCCTGACACTAGATCCTAAGGCCTCATGAGCTTTCGCAAAGACCTGCGACCCCACGCAAAGCATTCACTTCCACTATGCCTTCCATTCTCAAACTTAAAGTTACTTATTTCAGAACCCAAGGCAGGAGTGAGAAACACCTGGCCCATGAAGCTTTCCCACGGGCCAAGGGAGCTCCTATTTCAACCCTGCCTGCCCTGATGCAGGGTCTGAGAGATGCCTGGGAATCTTGCCAACAGCAGCCCCCAGATGTCTCTGGGATGCTTCTAAGAGCTGCTTTCATGCACATTCAGGTCAGAGGGGTGCCAGAGCCTGTGGACACTTCCTTGGGGCAGAGTTATGGGTATTTGGTAGAAAGTTTCCTGGTATTCTGCTCTGGGCCTATATACATTTCTTGGCTTTGATACCCTGCTGAGGAACCCATCACTGCTACAGCAAACCAGATTCTGTTTATTTATTCATTTATTCAAAAAAACACCTCTACCATCTTACATTTTCAAAAAAAATCTCAGAACTTGGGCAGCAAAGCTATGCCCCCTCATGGAGAATGAAGTTCCACTGATCACAGTGTGACGTACGTTTGACGAAGCACTGCAAAAAAGATGCATCAAGCGGCATTGTGAAAAAGGCACTCTGTGCGCCTGTCAAGCGCTGCACTGTGCTCTCAAGCAAAGCCATGAGATATTCTGGAATAAGCTTTGCAAGCTTTTGCTATGCATATTCATCTTTTTTCATATTACTTGACTATATTTGAAGTGGAACGTTAATCCTTTTACTTCTTAAATGATGGGGAATACTCTTATTAAATTATTTGTTTTGCATGCCATAATTAAATTAAACAGCAGAACAGTCATAACAGTTTAGAATGTGATGACTTTACTAAAATTCCATCCTCATCGTATCATAAGGAAGAAGTGGAGAGGGATGTAGAAATATGTTCCTGGATCAGACCACAGCTAGCGTAGATGCCATTTCCAGCTCATGGGTGAGTCCACTTGTAACTGTCATTCCATTTTGTTTTCCCCCAGCAACCAGAGGTACACTGCCTCTGATCATGGAGGCTCCATTTGGCTTGTCATGGCTTATATCGATGGATAGGCCTGCCTTCTACAGAAATACCGAATCCTGTGTAAAAAGGCCACCCATGCTGGAAGCCACCACATCCTAGAGATGAACTGCAAAGCTAACTCTACAGAGTATGAAAAAGAGCTCCCTCTTCTTTGCCCTGGGCCTGCCCACAAGAACCACCCCCAAGTAACCAAAGCCTCTGGTGTTGGGGCAAACAATTTGACCAGTGCACTTGCCTATCTGTGTAAGCCACTGGAGATGCAGTACGTCAGGACCTTACTCTGAGCACCAGCCAGGTTTGGGCTCAGGCTCAGGCTCAGGCTCAGGCTCAGGCTCAGGCTCCAGCTTGGATGAGGACCTGGCCAGATCCATCAGACTCAGACTCCACCCTGTGTCAGAGTCTGACTCCACTGTGGCCAAACCCACAACAGGACTGGGCAGGGAAAGACAGACGGACTCCCCAGGAAACAACATTCTCATTTTCTTCCTATTTACAAAACCTCTCCTACCAGCTTCTCTGCAGGCAATTCTTATTTGCCACCGGCGGCCAACAACTGGCGGTTTATAACCTTCTTTAACCAAAGATGGCATATAAAGCATAAGCTTCCGAGGGCCTCATTCTATTAGCCACCATTCTAGGGAAGTCACATTTTGGGGCAGGAATGGCTGGAAGCAGTGCTGCCCCGGGACATTTCGCTGCCTGAGGCAGAACAGCAAATGTCCCCTCACCAGGTCAAGGTGCACAGGCAATCTCCTAAGTGCCACTCCTCATTTCTGGCAGTAGCTCTATGAGAATAAAAAATTATGTGGTTGTTGAACAATACTTCAGAATTTGTTACCCTTTCCCGACAACCAAAATCTGATGCTTCACTCTCCCTAATGGTGAAGGCTCAGTCATGGATGCCGAATGGCTCCTGGCAGGAAGCACATTTTGTCCTATGAGGATATGTATTTCATACTGTTTCTATTATGATCAATATTATTTTGTATCATCATCACCA